ATATATATATATATATATATATATATATATATATATATATATATATATATATGGTGAAAATATATCATGAGTCCAAGTGTAATTTCCCTATGAACCTATATGTTCTGAACAACAGAGGTACACATTCATCAGTAACGTCTTGTTCGAAAATCAAGACAAAATTAAGCTACATGTCTTCACTAAGGGGAAAGAGATGCAATGTGATGCAAGGGTGTCATAGTCCGTCTTTCGGTGAAGCTCCCTTCAAAATCCTACCCCTCCTACTGTTACGTTCCGATTTCAAAGAAAATTTGTATATGTAGACTTCGCCAATATACTTAAATATGTACAATAATGAGGAATATTTTAAAATTCTTTTTACTAAGGAAGACATGATTAAAAAAATTAAGTTGATCTACTTTTGATTTCAAAGAAAACTTTGGGATGGTATCTAAAGTCTAATCTCAAAGCAAACATTTTATCTTTTCTTTCAAGAAGGTATATGATATTGTTTAAACAAGTAATGTATCGACAATTTCATAAACAACTCCTTTATCAGAGATTGTTTTATGTGAGAAGCGTTGACAACATCGAGAAACAATGTAAAGCACTCAAAATTTCACGCCTTCTTCAGTTTTAGTAAGATTTTATAACGTTACATTATTTTAAATTGCTACCGCTAAAGTATTTGTTTTAATTAAAATATTGTTGAATGTGGATTAAATCCTTTTTATCAAATTTCAAATTAAATGAACATCAAAGTTGTTTTTAAATAATGATAAAACATTTTCCCTTTAGAAGGTGATTGAAGTAGTGCGAAGTATTAATCCTTTTAGCAATCTTTAGCTTACCGGTAATGTTTTCAAAATTCTCACAAATACAAGTCATTGAATTGTAGTAAAATCAAAACACTAATAAACAGTTATTTAGGTAAATTTCTATAAATATACATGTAATTTATTTTGCGTATTTTTCATTTTAAATTTACGTATATATTTGTTATGATTTTTAAAGAAAATAAATAAAATATCCCTTACAAGTACTATAGTAAACTATAGTTTAGTTTATCATAGTTAACCATAGTACAAATGTATCAAAGTTTTCGCTTTACTAAATAAAATTTTTACCTATAGATTTACTATGAATTTTAGATCGTTATATATTTTTTATTACTATAAGCAATTTTCTTGTATTGAAATAGAAATATTAATTAAATATTTACATATTATTTCAAAAAATTACATTATTGGTGTGTAATGTAAGAAATATTAAGGAGGCTGGGGGTCCAAACAAAACTTTCTTCAAAATTCATCATATTAGCAGAAATGCTTTATATAATCATCAGTTACATTTTAATGTAAAAGACAACATCACAATCAACCTTACTTTTAGAATTTATTACATCTTAGTATACTGCATGATATGTAAACATGAAAACATGTCAAAAATAATATGAATCTCAAATATAAAGCGGAAAGTGGCTAAAACATAACAATTACATCAGACGAAATTAATTCAGAAACAAAAACTTAATAACAATGAAAATGTTAGTCTTATAAGATAAACATGACAATCTAGTGAAAATACACACTTCACATGTAGGCAATTATTCAAATTTTGAAACAAGTTACCACGATATTTTGTTACATTATAATGATTAATATATGTATAACATAAATCAAACATATAAAAAAAATCTGCTGGCTAATTTTGAGAAATGGAAATAAAAACTGTGAAATTCCAATAAAATATTTAGTCTATTACTAGTTACCTCCCTTTGCAGTTTCATGAAAATGTTCAAAAACAGCTAAAATAATTTTTTTTTAATTTTGTTACCTCAGGTTCACCATTAATTTACTCTTTAAATAAAGTTTTGATATCTGGTACCCATTCCCTTATTATGACATTTTTAAATGTTAAAAACAGACCACAACCAACTAGCTGTAATTTTTTTCAGCCATGAATTCAGAAAAAAATTGTGCAGAGACTAAATGTGAAAGAGAGGTGATATTTATATTTTTGGATCTTCTGTACCGTTAGGTAATTAGGACTTATGACTAGTAATCATTGGGAGTAATTTTTTTCCTTAAAAATGAATCTTTAAAAAGTGGTTAATAGTCGGTTGATGGCATGTACTGCGTCCTCAAAATAGCTGGTACTTCAAAAATACTAATGCTACCTCAACTACAAGTCAGCTTTGCTCCAGTTGATTTTCCCAGAATTTTCTGGAAATTAAATATAAATGCTTATATAAATTGATTATGCATTTTAAATCTTAAGACATGTCATGTGTAATTAATTATTCAAAATAATTATAAATTATTAAATTAGAGCCTCATTCATATTTCATAGTTAACCATGTCAAAATATTTAACAACTTTTTTGTACCAAGAACATATTATATTATGCACATTTCATATCATCATATCTGTCTCTATTGAAGTAATATGTCTAGGGCCTTTAACATGGGTGAAGTTCTTTTCACAGAATAAATAATATAATATTATAAGGTCTCTGGATCCTATACTTTATATTTTTACGGAAGAATTGATATAATATTCAAGAAATTTGTCTCTTATACATATCTCATTTAGGAAGTAATTTTGTTTGTTCAAACATGTTTATAATCGATAAAATACGAAGGAGGAAAAATAATCAAACGCATTACCTGAAACTGAAGACTGGTCAATTGTATGGGTTTTAAACAACAGCGCCGTTGACAAACACTGAAAAACTCGGTTTACTTGGACACTTGTTTTCTCTTTGGAGAAGTATGTATGGTTTTGCAATACTTTCACTTCAGACAGTAAATAGATAAACAATCACTGCTGCCGCTGTTATTGCCATTTACATAAATCTTTTGTCTGTTTTCCCCACTTATAAACCTCCCATTCCTGTCTTGAGCTTTCTGACAGTTTATGTTGACTATCATTACCTTATTTGTATGAAGATTCATTTAAAGTACATTACCTATTCCAGGACTATGGAAGACTTCAAAGTGAAAATCTTTTTTGTGTAGAGATAATAACGCTCTACAAGGGCAGCGACCCCGCTCAGCCCTCTTAAGGCTCTTAACTTTAGAAGAGTTCTAGAGTAAAGTTTCACAGTAAATCAAGGTGTCAAAATGTTTACTATAGTTAACTATAGTAAACTTTAATTAATTATAGTAAATTTTTATTGGGGATCAAACCTTAAGAGTCTATAATTTCATCGAGAGTAGTTTTTTAATGACTTTTCTGTGCAAAAGTTCCTATCAGATCAAAACATCAAATTTCCATGCCAAGAAATTATTCATTATTGATTTAATTTACTCATATATAAAATTATTGTTTCTCAACCATTTTTAAGTTTAAACTTTATACACAGTTTTAAAATTAAATCGACATAAATCAGGCTAGCATATAAACAACTTTTAACTGGAAAAGTTGACAACTGTTCTTATCGTAATACCAATACTTCTTACATGTATCAATACACCTCTTGTAGAAACATTATTGTATGATGTCGATGGGATGTCTATGTTTTGGTGTTATCAGTTTTCTTTTTGTGATTAAGTTAATAAATGAAATCTTCGAATCTGCTTTCATCTACGTATTTCGGATGTACATAAATAGTATTCTGCTTTTCAAGATATACCTTTTATACGTTTACATGCATATTTGTAAGTGTTATGTCATTTGTATTACTGATTTTATCATTGGTGTTACAACTGAGTCACTGGAGTAAGCAACATAAAACTTGTTATTTTGTCTCTGAGTAGGTGTTTGATTTAAGACATAACTTGACATTACCTACTTCTATTTCTTGTAAAAAACGTGAAGTATGTGATTTTGACTTTATACACATGATAGTACGTTTACAGCATAGTTAAGCATGTGTCTCATGTCAAAATCAAATCTGATGAAAAACTTCATTTTCATGACTGGATGTCGATACTTTTCGATTTATCAGTGTTGAAATATTTCTCATTAATTTCTTTTCTTCACTCTGTACATCAATCTTCCAGAAGGTGACACTAATGACGGCAAAACATCTTTTGTTATTTTTTACGAGAAAATTCAGCAGATAGACGCATGCTACTTAAAGATACAGTGTTTCTCCGATTTCCATATGAACCATTTATCTGCCTTTGATATTGACATAAACAAACGAAATAGCAAGTCAAAGTATATTACCATTGTTTGGCGGATTGAGTAAAAGGTAGAGGTGTTTCTCGCTTATAGATTGGTAATCGGGTTCACATTTTTTATCATAAAGGGTGCGACTGCAATGCTTTATGATATATTAGTTTGTATCATTAGTGATCGATCATGTTGATATTTGCTTTTTTCATTAAGAGTAGGGTGCTGTACATTTGCGACGCATAATTATATTACTCTATCAAAAAGGGGCATTGAGCATCAGCGGTTTAGAATAGCAACTACTAATGCAATAAATTCTGGCATTAAGAGTTGCATTTGCAACGCAAAATGATCTTTCTATCATTAAGCGGCGTTGTGTCATAAGCGGTTGCTACTGAGCCACAGTCTCGTCAAAAACATATGATTATTTTCTGATTTCTCCAAAATCAAGGATATTATGGTTAATTCATTATAGACGTGTACATTGTTTGAAGAACTTATGCACAATTTTATTTTATTAATGTACAATTTTGCAGGTAAAGGTCTGAAGCCCATGCCAGTATGCAAAGGTTTTCCAAGAAAAGTAAGAATTTTTGACAGAACAAGCTCTACCCATTTTAAAACGTTATAATAAAATATTCTTATTTAGATTAAATAGCACTTAGTGTACTTTTACTCTGAAATTAGAAAGTTTTATCAAGTGACATTTCTCTTACTCAGCTCCGAAACAAAAACACTGTATATATGTAATAATGGTATAATGATAACTGTGGACCTTTACGTAATCAGAAAATGAGAAATGACCTTTATTTTCTAGAATGTGTACCTCTTGTAATAATAGGGACCGTGTATCTCGCCTTCATTTATCACGTATATAACTCGCATATATGGCAGCCACATATGAAGTTTGGACGAGCGTCAATCCGGATCGTGAAAAAAGAACTTTTTAGTTACAATGACTCCACTGATATTGTATGTGTAAATTTCAAAGGACGACTTGGAAATCTCATGATTCAATACATCTTCTTATACATAATAGCAAAGATTAAAAAACTATATCCTATTGTCCCTGATAACTCTGAATTGTTTCAAGTATTTAACATACAAAATACAACACTTTCTGCGATGAAACAACCTAATGCTACGTGCTCAAAACTACCACAACACAAAGAAAGATGGGGACTTTCATATGACGAGAATTTGCTCAGTGTACCCCCTTCCAAAGGAGTGAGATTTGATGGCTACTTTCAGTCATGGAAATACTGGATAAAATATGAAGAGGAAATTCGGGATATCTTTACTTTTAAAGAACCAATACGGAAAAAAGCAAACACACAAATGAGGAATATCCTAAATCAGATGAATTTTATTGTTAATAAGGATAACATTGTAATTAGCATTCACATCCGAAGAGGAGATTATGCAACAGAGGAACATTATAAGTACGGCAAACTCACACCCAATGAAACTTACTATAAGAATGCCATGAATTATTTCAAAAAAAGATATCGAAGTGTATTGTTTGTTGTTGGTTCTAATGATATGAAATGGTCTAAAAGGGCTTTAGGAACCGAGAAGAATGTGTACTACTCAATAGGGAATTCAGCAGCAGAAGACATGGCCCTGCTTTCTCTCGCTAATCATACCATCATGTCTGTGGGAACTTTTGGCTGGTGGATTGGATGGATGGCGCGAGGAACTAGTATATATTATAAGAACATCTATAGAGCCGGATCTGATTTTGCCGAAGAGTTTCGAAATGACTCCATTGAAGACTTCATTTATCCTGGGTGGATTCCCATGGAATAAAGATACACATAACATTCATGTAAAATACCAGAAACAATTATCAACCAACTACATATATATGATCAATTTATAATCATACCATTTATTGTTGACAATATTCAAAATACTGAATTCTATTTCATTCTATGTACTATTTTATATACATGTAGATATGTCTCTATTTATGAGACTGAGCTGAGATTCAACTTCATCCTTGACTGAAAAAACCCATTAACATTTAATATATGTTTACTAGCTCTCTAGCATGAACATTTCAAAATTTTAAAATTTTAAGTTTGAAGATAACTATGTGGTTGCTTCTAATGAAATATGAAGGTAACAAACAGTAATCAAGCTCAAAAGTCCATTAAAACATTACAAAATGTAAGCATGCAGAGCAAACATGGACCTCTAAAAACATCATATGTGGGATCAGGTATCATGGAGAAGTAAATATCCTCTGTCCACCGTCACACCCGTCGTGTCCTCCTTGTCATAATCGGAAAAAATTCGTAGGCAAATCAATGTGAAAATAATGGCCTAACAATTTGTATGAAAAACGTCATTCTACATTCGACTTAACGATAAATTATATTTACTTACAGGGACATTGTATCGACAATAGAATTTCTGAAATGTTGACTTTAAACGAGACTGATATCCTTGTATCATCAACTCCTTTGTCAATAGCTTGCCTTGTTTAAGAAACTGTTCGTACGTAGACCATGCTTTTTGTGTATCGAATCAACTGGGAGACATAACTCAATATGCAGGTGATCATGGCATATTGCTACATGAATAAGGGAAGTTGACGATAGAAAAATTGAATCATCACGTTTATCACAAAGTTTAGTTGTGAGTTTGCCATCAATATCTTTTTTTTGTATAATATTCAGATATGAAACTGATGTGTCAGACTCTCTGGTGTCTGATATTTCCAGTTCAAAGGATATATTGAAGGACATAGCAAGAGACCTCTTTTCATATAGAAGCTTTTGAATAAATTCTGCTTCAAATAAATGCGAAAAACCAGGTCTGCTTTGAAATATTAATACCCAATAAGGTTATTTATGCATGTTTTAAAAATTACATATCCCACCTGTAAACTAAAAAGAAACAAGGCTTGCAACTACATTCGCCCCTTTCCGTGCCCTCGACACGATTTTTTTCCTTTTCAAAGTTATATGCACCGCTCACCAACTGAATTACGAATCCTCTTCTCTCAAGATAATTCTTATATAATGATGAAAATCCTCTGGTAACAGCTTTTCATCCATCTTATATGTTTAAATAATTATTTTCTCCCAAATTTCGCTCGTTTAATCCTCCAAACCCCAAACGGGCGACCAGAAAATTAATCGACAGTTCTGAGAGACGCAAGGATCAGAGTATATGCTGATTGAGACTGTCTTAAACTTCTTTCCTAATCACTGACAATATTATTTTTAACCTGAATCCTTAAATAAATGAATTTAAAGTTTTAATTTATGGACCCGGGGGTTAGGTCTTCACTTGTTTTAAAGTGAATTAAACAACATCAATCATTGCGTGAAAAACTTTGACATGTCGGGGGCACGGAAAGGGGTGAATGTAGTTGCAAGCCTTGTTTCTTTTTAATATACAGCTCGGATATGTCATTTTTAAAACGTGCATAATATCAAATTTCTGTGGCAGTCTAGTGTATGTCAAGCAGAAAGATTTACAAAAACTAAAAATTAACATTGAGCACTGAAAAAAGTTACGAGTATAATTCGAATTTCCCCGACAATACATTATATAGAAAATATACATTAACCTCGACCCAAGCGCCTATGTTCATCAAGTAGGCAAAATAACTTCCAAGTAATTGTAAATACTTGATATCGAGTTATAGATATTTATGATGAATAAGAGATAACATGTTATGTTGTCTTTTTTAATTATTAAAATAAATATGAAAGGGCTCATTCTTTTAAAATATATATTTAATGAATAGAGGAGTTTAAGGATGACGTTTACTCGGAGTTTTAGTTGACGGAAGCAAATTGCTAAACAGTACAATTTCTTAAATAAAAAATTATTCTAAATGATAAAAAAAAAAATTGAAATTTAATGTTTTACTATTTGAAAGAAATACGCAAGAACAAAGATATGAATAAAATAAAATAAAATTTAATTTTTGCAATATTTTACAATTATTTTTCTTGCAATAATATTCTGAAAGTAAGGATTCTATGTGTTTTTAACATCATTTTGCAAATATCATGCGTTTTATTTTAATTAATTCAATTAATCAAATGGCATGCAATGAAGATTATCAAAAATACATGTATAAACAAAAACCAGTCCAGATGACATATCTCAAGAATTTGATCATTGACCTCATATAATTCCAATACAAACAGAATAAGGGCAATAAAAGTAAACTGAGGCTGTAAATAATTTAGAGTTCCTATCAGATTTTTGTTATATTAGTTTGAAGGTGAAAAAAAACGAAATCAGCAGAGGAACTTCGGATCGGAATAATTTACATGTTTATTAATCAAACTGTATTTGTTTATTTATACTTAGCGACAGTATTCCATTTTTATTATATTTTATTATCTAATGAGTTTTGTTACTTGTAATATATTTTGTTAATAAAGAAAATATTGTTTAAAAATTTGAGATTTTCCAAGAAATACTCAAGGGTCACTAGCAAGTAAAGTAGGTAATTTACCTAATTTCTTGAAAGTGAATAATAACACTACAATCATAGGCCTACAATGTACAAAAGTGGTTTTTAATTCTTTCAAGTTTTTTTTTCCATCTGAGTTATTTTCATCCTTAAACAGAAGCTTACTGTTCATTCAAACTTTAGTTTTATTTTACATTTAGTAACAGGTCGTCTGCGTGGCGCAGTGGTTAGAGCGTCTCCTCTAGAGTCGCGAAGTAAGGAGTTGATCCTTCGTCGCCGGTTCAAATCCACTGCTGGACGTGGAGACCGGTCCTTCGGATGAGACCATAAAAACCGAGGTCCCTCTGTCGCAGTAGGTGTTGGCACCAAAATGATCCCTCACTGCTCAATGGCCCTGAGTGCCAAGTATATAAATAAATTTGCAGCCCTACATCGGCAAGTGGTGTCGTCTCCATATGAGTGAAAAATTCTCGAGAGAGACGTTAAACAACAAACAAACAATCATTTAGTAACATATTTTGATAATCTTGCATGTAGATAATTTCTTCTAACATGCTTCAAATTGACAAACTGTCATGAAATTATTTTCTCATTCAATTTGATACAAGACTACGGGGACTTGTATTTGAACTAAAAATTTCTTGGATTCTTGGAAATATTTTACATGTAAATACATGTTCTTCTTATGTAAATGCTGGGAATGTAGTTCTTAAACGCATTATGAATTTCATTAGAATTATTTAATATTAACTCAATATGTTTTCTCTTCTTTACATTGAGTTTCATAGAAATTTTGACAATTGGATTGTTTCACAAATTTTGATAATATTTAAGATAATATGTCCGGTTACATAACATTGGTTTATTTGTTTATTTGGTAATTGACTTATCTGTACTTGTTGTGCCATTATGTACACCACAAGCCTAACATCTGAATATTACAATTCCCAAACAAATTCTTTAAAATATTTAAATTGAATACTTGTTTTGTACAACTCTGGTCCAGTGATTGTGTGCAGAAAGAGAATCTATACGACTTCTCTCATTTTGAACTACCTACCTAACTCGGAAGCAAAGTTGACAAATTTTTTTAAATAATTTAGAATTTTAGTATTTTAATTTTGAATTTGTGATCAATAGTCCCCTAATACGACAAGTTTTGTTGACAATGAAAGAATTTTTTTTAAATAATTGTACCATTTAAATTGTAAATGAAGCACTTTAGACCCTACATGACAGATAACAGTTCGTTGGAAATTGGCGGAAAGAGAATTTAATAAAATTTCACTTGTACAATGGCGACTCAGTTGAACCGATAAAGAGGCCAAAATGCAAAATATACGTCACACAACAACATAAAAATTATACATACGTATTATTATATATACAGATACATAAACTTTATCATTAAATAACAATGTTTTAAATGTTGCAAGAAAGATACAAATTCAAAACAAAACATCAAAATTTATTAAATAAGTTTTTTATGCACGTATCATAATTGAAGAAAGCCTATCAACTGAAATTCGAGTAAGTAGTATCCTTTTCTGAAATGAAAAATAATTTTGAATTACAAAAGGCACAAAAATAGGACTATTCGTGAAAAACTGAATGTAGAAAAGCACAAGAGAATTAGTTTTTTGCAACGACACAACAACAACCCAATAATTTTTTCCTGCAGTGCATACCAAGAAAGATTCAAATTCGCATTATATACTCGTATACTAAAATACACAGATGGGTTTTATTGTGTATCATTTGTGATTAAGAGTCACTGTATTTTTTTAACCATTCTAAGATTTCGTACAGAGGATCGTTTTATGTGATATTCACAAAATTTGCAACTAAAATATGTTTTATTATAGGTATCTGGAATAATGTTCTCAAAAGAACATTTTATTTTTAAATAATTTAATTCTGATTGTAACACTCCATTTCATTGGATAAAAAATTTACCTTATATCGTATAAATTGGTATGCCTACGTCACAATGGCTTGCGTCAAAAAAGTATCAATCCGCCTGACGTTACATTTAAATTTTGTACAATTTGAAGTCATTTTTTAAGGGCAATCATCTTTTTTCTTACACCAAATGAATGAAAATTAAATTATAAGGAATGAAATAAATAGCTACCAATTTATACGTATAAAGTGGGTTGGAAGAGTTTACGCTTTTTTATAAACCGCTTCGCGGTTTATAAAGCGTAAACTGCCCCAACCCACTTTATACCGTATAAACTGGGCAGCTATTAAATTCATTCCTTAAAACAATCAAGTGTTTATTATTGTTTTCAATAGAAAAATTGGATAAAATGTTCTAAAACGCATTTCTTGGAATCAAGTGTTTATTGCCGATTATTCAAAAGAAAAAAAAAGACATTTGTATAGTAACCACTTATGATGTAAAATACATCTATGATATATATATATATATATATATATATATATATATATATATATATATATATATATATATATATATATATATATATATATATATAAACTCTCTATGATGTTCAAAATACTACCGTTTGCCGTCACCCTTATAAATCAATACAACTTACATGTATTATTATTATTATTATTATCATTATGAATCACTGATTGAAAAATTAAAATCTATGCGGCTTAACGCATTTATTTTATTAACCTAAACATGGCTTTAGTTGTTATTTTCATGATTTTGTAGAAAGTATACATGCATTATCTGTCCTTAATGCCAGAATCATTATAAAGTACGACTACTTTAAACATACCTTTATCCTTATTGTCTGTAAATACATGTACTTTATATTTGTTTTCCTCTTTAGTAGGTTGCAAACTTTCATACGTTGCACTTTAATTAAAAAAATATTTGTATAAATCATAACACTGTTAAAATTTGTTTAATGATAATGTTTATAAAATTATTTTTTTCAAAGACATACCTTGGGTTTTCATTCTTATCACCTAAAACCAAACATATTTTTTTTTATCAAGAATGTATAAATAACATTTTCTAAAGTTGAATTTAAATTCACTTTGATGAAACAATCAATTTTCTCACTCTCTTCCAATCGAATAGCATCATAACTGCTTTCTTGAAGGCGGTCGGCATACTTTAGTTCTTCATAATGAATGCTGTAAATAAAATTCAAAGCTAAAGGCACATGTATAAACAATTCAATTTATATTTAGCATTACGACAATATTTTAAGTGATAAATAATAAACTTGCATAATTATGTAAATCACAGAAAATTCATGCAATACAGCAGAATACTTAGAATAAACTACACTTTAAGATTATTTCTGACACAGTTTCAATTTATACTTACCCTTCATTTCCTTGCAGACCTGAAAATAAAACTAACAGTGCTAAAAAGACACAAAAGGAAAGGATTATTTAAAAAAAAAACCTATTGCCTATTTTATTAAGTGAACATTGAATAAATCGTAATTTCAGAATAAAAGAAATTTAGGTAATAGCTTTCTGTTTTATTAATAATTAACATACCAGCTAATTTTTCTTCTCTCTTCTCACTGGAATAAAAATAGAGAAATCGTGTTTATATAAGGTACCAATTATCATGTTGTCTTTTCGGAGTTGAAAGCAAGCATACTTAAACAAGATAAAGTATGGGAGTCTTGATCCTTTCTCTCTAAGTATTTTTATACATTATCAATCTTTTATAGTAAGATTTGTAACTTTTCGACCAATAGGCAGTATGTCCTCTGAATCATAGCTTAACTAATGCAAATGAACATCATTTCCCCCCAAGTTCACAGTCTCAAATATATAAACCAAATATAAATCCAAATTTTGAAATGTGAGGGTGATTTATTTGACAGTCTTACTTGTTGTATTTACCGATGTCAATATTCATACAATTTTTTAAAAGTTTTTCGGTGACAATAATGCCTATAATATGACAGTTTTAGGCAAATTTGGAGACCCACCGGTGACTTAATATGCTGAGTTAAAAAAAACTATCCCATTTTTTTTTTTCATTTTGGAGTGTAAGAACAGAAATAATAATGAGAATTTCAAGCAATTTCCCCGTGCTTTGTACTGGACCCATTTATTTTACTATAGCATCTCGACCTTTTTTGCAAAGAGCATGTTTTGGAAGTTTGGAACACTTCTCGCGGTTAAAGAAAAAAATGCCTACTAGGTGTCCTTAAGGAAAACAAAATAAACAATAAATAACAGACAAAAATGACAAAAGTTTATACTAACCTTGGACTGTTTCTTAATTTAAATAAGCTTCAGAAAAAAATAAGTTTTGGATCGTCCAAAGAAGAATAAAGGATTTAGGACTATTAGTCATCGAAGCAAAAGGCTCTCAAGCTGATCACTTAAAAACCTGCTTACTTTTTATTCAGTTGTACTTTAATTAAAAATAACTTCATAGAATACATTTTTTAACTTTTCGAAGGTATAAGGAGAATAGACCTAGAAAAGAGAATGTTTGAGCTGATTTCTGACCATACCCTGATTTGGAATATCGATCTGAAAATCGAAAAAAAGTTTTTAAATTTTCAATAATAATAATAAAAATCAAAATTTCGTATAAATGATAACTAATAATGATAAAGATACAAATGTACCTGTGCATTTAATTTTGTATTTCCTGTTGAGGAACACAAAGAGAATCATAGCTACAAAGATAATACAACCAAATGTTCCACCAACTATAGCACCAATAAGGGATTTCAGGTCAGGTGCACGAGCATTCATAGCTGAAAAAGTTAAATACCCAAAATTATTTTCCAATATTTTATGAATCTCAATATATATAAAACCTGTGGTTTCCACAATGTTTCCCAGGATAAGAAACTTGAAAAATGCTTTAGTGGTTACTGCCTGGTTTTCATGTTAGGAATCAATTACATGGTGGTTTTCAGATGACTAGAAATTTGAAATCTGTATTGAAAGTTTCCGTCAAGTTTCCTAATAAAGATGTGTCAAACAGTGTAATCAAGCAGATTATCAATTTGAAAACAAGGTTTACTTCACCAAATGCTTTACATTCTCTATAAATATAACTCTGCATCTTTATTGCTAAAAGCTGTAAATTAACAACCATATGTTTTGTCTCTAAAGAAGAAAAAGGACTTGTTCTTTTTCCATTCGAAGTATTTAATTCACTTTTATGATTAGTTTCTTGCATTAAATGTCCGCGTCTCTGCTTACTGTACTAGTACTAATATTTTAATTCGACTGATTTTTTTCATGTGACAAACCATACAGAGGAAACAGAAGACTACTGCATGTATTTACTTGTATAAAATACCGACGATGACGCCACTGAAATGTAAAGAGTTCGAGTACTTGCAATTTAAAATTTCGCTTTAATTTAGACTGACAATTATAAATCAGAGAAATTACGTACGTGTAACTCGATATTTGACGATAAATATTATCTATCAATACATTTAAGCGTACATGCGCAGAAAACAACATTTTTACAGATCGCCTACTCTCTTCAGTGTTTTTATTAATCTCACGCAATTTTGTGTTTGCAATGGTGGACAAAACGACCAACTTTTCAGGGAAAATATAAAAGCAGGGACGTTGATTGGAGACACCTCGGTCAAAATCGGTTACATCAAACGTTCGTTGAACAATTGTAATTGTAAATCATGCAATCAAACATGGCAAATAGTTTTCTGGTGGTGCTTGATTTGTCCGATATACCTGTTATTTTTTTCAATTAAAGAATGGTAACTTTTCTTTTCATTTGATCAGAAAAAAGATTAAAGTTCTGTATATGCACAAAGTATCTGCCTAAAGTATATAAAAATCATAAAACGGCAATTTAACCAATAAATTGACAATGTCAAACTTCTGCTTAGTGTATTCTGTAATACAAAGCTATGTTTGATCCAATTTTGGCAATATGAAAGAAAACGTTCTTGATTCAGTTGGAACAAATAATATTAATTACTAATCAAATCAAATTAAAATGCATGTGCAAATTACCACTGGTTCTGCAACTGATGTCACCAGCTGACAATGTTTCCCCGTGTTTATTCAATGCAGACACATAAAAGTTATATACAACAGATGGCTGCAGTCCGTTTATAGTTGCCCTATGTATGTCATTTTCCCCTTTGTCTGACATAGAACCAGAACGACTGGCTTCATACTGATCATCCCTCATAGCAATGGCAGTGAATGTTTGAGGAGCTCTGCCATTGAATGAAGATTTCCATGTTATATCAGCTGATTTTGTCTCACACGTGACAGTTTTTATCTCTGGTGGATATGGTTTTCCTGGTGAGGTTTACATATAAGGATAATTTTGAATGCAAAATTCAAAGATAAACTATACTATAGTATCAATATCATGAATTCTTTTTCTTTTCAGTTTCAATAAACGCTTGATCAGCAATAAATGATGTTTATAATTCTATGATCATAGTTAGATTAAGATAATTATTCAGAATTAACAAAATGGATTTGCACAACAGTAAGTAGTTTAAAGACGTCAATGGCAAGTTTGATAAAATTGCATGCAGATGTTCTAGAATGAAATATGAAGATAACAAACAGTATTCAATCTCGAAAGTCCAATAAAACGATACAAATTTGAAGCAGAGCAAACTTGGACCTTAAAATTAAGTGGTGGGATCAGGTGCCATGGAGGAGTGAGCATCCCCTGCCGACCGGTCACACCCACTGTGTGCTCCTTGTCGTGATAGGAAAAAAACCGTAGACAGTTCAGTGTATAAATAATGGCCTAAAAATTAGTATGAAAAACGTCAGTCAGCATTTGACTCAATGATAGGTTGTATGTGCTGACAAGGTCATTGTATCGACCATAAAACTTGCGAATTGATGACTTCAAACGTGACTGTTGATATCATTGTTTCATCAACTTGTTTGTCAATAGCTTGCCTCGTTTTAGAAATTGTTCATATGTTTAGCATGCTCTTGCATATCGAATCAACTGAGAGACATAAACCCCATATGCAGGTAATAAGGGTATATTGCTAGTAAGTACGGGAAGTTGGCGATATAAAAGTTTAAGTCATCACGTTTATCATAAAGCTTTGTTGTTAGGTTACCATCAACGTCTTTTTCTAGCACAATATCTAAATATGAAACAGTCGTGTCAGACTCTGTGTTATCTTTTATTTCAATGTCACTGGGATATATCGCGTCGACATATGAATCGAAGTAGCAATTGTTAATACGTCGTCGATTTATTGAAATGTCGAGTTAAGACCACAGTAAGTGTTTTCTTCTTCTCATGTAGAAGTTTTTTAATAAATTTTGCTTCATATGAATACAAAAAATTAGGCAAGAATCAGTCAGAATCCCTCAGCATAATGAAAGGACTTTTTATGCATCCGTACATGAGTGAGAATTTTTCTGAGTGAGGTACATGGACACATGTATATATTCACTTTTTATCATCTGTCATGATAGATTTGTTTGAATTTATATGAAATAAATGCAATACTCACCTTCAGAAATAATGTTGACATACATGAGAGACCTTCCATAGGCATTTTCAAACTCCAGAAGGTACACCCCAAAATCACTTTGCTGGACATGTGTCTGATTGTATACAACCGTAAAGTTATTCACGGCATTTTTGCTTAACCTACTGGTCATTTTATTGTTGATGGTTTTGTTTTCATAATATAGTTTATATGATGGCTTTGGGTATGCAATAACAGTGGCTGAGAATTGAATTCCCTCTGAGTCCAGTATACCAAGTGTAATATTCTTTTTTACTTCGGGTTTACCTGGAATAAAAATCTAGAATTAGGAATGGCAGTTAATACAAGCACTATCTGGTATTGAAGACATGGTGGAGTCATTTCAGTATTATTTTTCCTAATGAGTCTCAATGATGATTAAAAGATTATAAAATAGTGTAGATCAAACTCGGGACAAGCAAGACTTATTATTCATTGTTAAAGGGTACTTGAGTATAATATTAAAAGTTGCTCAAAGAGATTTAACTATCAATTATCTGAAAAATGTTCGTGGAATTCAATATCCAAAGAATAAAATTAATTTTTCATATGCAGCTGTAATACATTTGTAAATTTGGTCAATGTTTGTCTTATACTCACTTTCCAATAAATCTGCTTCAAAAAATAGCATAATTCTAACCTCAAAATATTGCTAACTATAACCATTTTTGTTGGTATGCTCCCCTATTCTATTTGCAGCATATCTCAACTGGCTTAAACAATGATTATTACAACACAGAAATCAATATCCTTCCATGTATTGCAGCATATGAAGTATGGTACATCCTAAAAGTAATTTATGTGCAAGACTAGAAGAATACTTCTTGAAATGTTATAATAAATGGTATGCTACTATCCTGTCCTGATGATTTCATCGAAAAAGTTAGGATTTCTATTAGTCAGTTCTTTACATTTACCATTTGATGTTATTGGCAAATATGGAACATAGTTAGTGGAACCAGTAATGGTTAATTCTGAGATGGGTAAATGTAAAGAACTGACGTACATGTTATACAACTCACATAAAACATTGACATCCATAGCCCGACTGCTTGTTCCTGTACCGCCAAGGCTGTATATGTTTTTTGCAACACATACGTAAGTACCAGTGCTGTCTCTGTCTATCTTTTGTAACTGTAGAATGCGTCCATTTTGTCTAAATCCAGAGTCACCTGACCTGATCCAGTAAACAGTGGTTTGAGGGGGATTTCCAGCAGTGAAGGAACATTGAACGGTGAGGTTACTTCCTTCTATGATGTCCTGGTTGGTAATATGGGACACGATGGGAGGATCTTCGAGCATGAAGAATTACAGTTTATATGACAGTATGCAACGTCATGCAATAAATACGTTTTAAGCCGAAGCCCCAGCAGCCATTAAATGCGGTCTTATCTGTGAGGGATTATAAGCCTCTCGATTGCCTCAGTTGATATACAAACTTAAAATCTGGCCAGTGAAATCGTTGCAACATTGTTCCATCATCGTGAAGGCTGATTAACATTTTAGTTACATATGCTTTTTGTACTGCTTATTAATAATTATATCAAACTAATGATAAATCGTGACTTGGATGTGTATTTTCCTTAGATATCAACAATATGCAATCCTGTCACAAGATTTTTTTTCAAATACTGTATTTCCTTATTCTACAATCTATAAACATTACTCAAAATTTATCATTGCAGTTTACGCTAAATTAATTTTACCATCAATACCGTCAAGTAATAACCAAGAATGTAATTGCATTTACCGTTTATAAATGACAAATAAAGAAAGAACATGCTGCAATTGTACATGCTTTACAACTTACACAGAACATTGATTTCCAAAGACTGACTGCTTGTTCCTGTCCTTCCGCTATTGTATCTGTTTTCTGTTGTACAAATGTAAGTACCAGCTCTGTTTCTTTGTACCCATGGTAAATGTAGAATGGTTCCATCTTGTTTAAATTCCGATTCACCTGACTTGATCCAGTAAACAGTGGTTTGGAATGGATTTCCAGCAGTGAAGACACATGCAACGGTGAAGTTGCTTCCTTCTATGATGTCCCGGTCAGTAAAAGGGGACACTATGGGAGGATCTACAAGCAAGCAAAAGATAATTAATCTTTTTACAACAAACTGATTGGATATATTTAATAATTAAAATTTGAGAGTCAAAGAAACCTCTGGCCATTGGAAAATATAGGCACATGGTGTATGGCAAAGGGATTGGTAAACTATATAAAAACAGTTCTGAAATATAAAAAACTCCTTTGTTGTCTAAATTATATAAAAATCCCAAAGGAAATTGAGAATTAGGTTACTGAAATTGTTGCAAGATTTTGAAGGTTATGTAAAACATTTTACTTTTTATCTGTCCTCTGAATAACACTTAAACTCTTGATTAAAAATGTTTCAAACCACTGATAATTCGTTATGCATAAGTATTTCCCAAAATTATAATAAAATGTAATGCATTGTTAAGTACTTCAGGGTATCGTTTGAAAAATTGTGCCTATCAGAATGTCTTTCAGTCAATGTACTTAGTAGCTATAATCATTTTTTTTTTGTTCATATATTAATTTTTTTAGTTGTTCCTGTTTTTGTGGGTCTGTTTAATTGATTGTTTTTGTTTTGGTTTATTCCTACAGTGAGTATCGTAGGAAAATGAACCATGATGATGTTGTTTCTAAGATAACACAATATTACATTCAGCAAAAATCTCCATGTTTCAATTTTGTGGTATTTGTAAATAATGAGAATGTTTATAGTGTTTAAGAGCAAATACCCTAATTAAATAAGAGAGTGAGACGGTTTGATAATGTTGCAGGTGCATGATTCCGGTGTTGTAGACCTCTTTCGCAAGAGTGTCATATTAACTAGTTAGAGAAAAAAGAGAATGAGACAGCATGAATTTATAATTTGTAGCTTTAGTATTCTTTCTGTTGTTTGTTTATTGTGCCTGAAAGAGTTCTGAGAGATGAAGGTGAGTATTAAGATGGTTTGTGTGAGCAACTGGGGAGTAAAAGATTTGGTATGGCCATGGCCGGAAAACAGAGAGAATGAGTCCGAACTTGGGATGTCATTTAGAGTGAATGTGTTTTATATTTGTGAACCATGCCTATCATAGCTATACTGTGTGTGTTGTAAATATGGAAATAATTAGACTCGTAAAAACAAACAACAGTTGTCAGTCAGCGCCGACGACAGGGAGAACCCCGTCACATATCATGGTGGCAGCTATGAGATAACAAAACGGAAAAAAATTCTGTTGGATTTATATGATGGAGGTAATATGATGAAGGTAACTTAAAGATGCCGCGCAAGTTAAACCGACAGCTACCAGATCCTCTACATCTGGACTATTCAAGAGTTCGACAACTTTACCTAAGAAAGAGGTGCTAGTTAAATCATTTCCATTCCAGGGAAACATAGATGGGGACATTGATGTCTGGATCAAAATCTCTGAAAGAATTTTAAGAGCAAATGGCTGGAGTAATAATAGAAAAACATACACCTTATCCGCCTTTCTCAGAGACAAGCTTAAGGCAGCAGAACACTTTAAATCACTGCCTGAGGACGTGAAAGAGGATTATCACCTGATATGTGATATGTAAGGTTCTAAAAGATAAATTCTTACCCAGAGAGCTGCAGGGTGGAAAATAGTGGGCGACTATACGCACGATAAAAACAAATTGTCTTCATGTCTTATAACGATATGCTTAAAAACAGAAAGACAAACTGACAAAAGAAACTTTATCCAAGGACTATGACCTGAAATCAGACGATTTGTCATGTTATCAAACTCAGAGACATGGAATAGGCGTTTAAACATGCTGAGAAGTAAGAATGTAAAGGTAGCAGTATAATGTCGAAAGATGGGTCCGCAAAAGCAGTTGTGTTCGCCACACAGAGCACCTCTAGACTGGAGGAAACCGTACAAGAACTTACCATCAAAATATCCATGATGGCAAAGCAAAGTTCCAAAGTGCTGAATTTTTCTAAAAAAATTTGAGTTTCTTCGTTGCTGTTTTTTATTATGAGGATATTTGTAGAAAAAAATATTTTCCATCAAAATTGATGCCAGTTGATACAAATAATATTCCAAAGTGGTACCATTATACATAAAAAGTTTTAATTACAGTTAATCTGTGTTTCATTTTTATAGTATTTACTTAAGTAAAAGACCATTTATTTTTACATGCTTGTATTATAGACCATTAGAATGTTTGTTAGGGATATTTCAAACTCACATTGCACATCGATGGTCAATGATTGACTGCTTCGTCCCCTGTTTCCTGAAGAATACTGATTTTCTGCTGTACAAGTATAGTTACCAGAACTATTACGTTGTACATTGGTCAGTCTCAGTGTATCTCCCTGCTGCCTAAAGGTGTTGTCTCCCTGACTGATCCAATACACTGTAGTCTCAGGAGGCTTTCCAACATCATAAAGGCATTTCTGAGTCAGGTTTGTTCCCTCCACAAGATACTTAGGACTCAGTTGATGTGCAACTGGGGGTTCTGTCAAAATGTTTCAAAAATCTAAATTGAAATAGAACTGAGCCTATTTTGGAACAGACGTAAAGATTCACTGATATGAAACTACGAGGGGTTATCAAAAAGTTCGTGGACTGATGCGATAAAATTAATACTATGTAGTCTGTGCTTACAAAATTTATGAGAAATATAAAACAACAAAAGTTTATGAAATGTTAAAAATTTTAGCTAGATACGTTGATAATTTTCCAAATTATTCTAAAATAAAAAAAGACATTATATGATCACCCGGCGCTGTCGCCGTTTAGTTTCATGACGTCCGACAACGTCATTGTTTCTCATTTCCGCTCTCTCTACCTTATACACTTATCTTGATGAGATTACCTGGAGTTAAGTAAGGACTAAAGCCCATCTTGTTTATATGGCTTTTTAATGTCATGAACAGCTGCTTTCAATGCATATAATATTGTAAATGGTTCTATACAAAGGGAAAGATCCTCACTTGATTATGCCAGAATACTTAGCTTATTGGAGTTCAAATTCTACCACACATGATCAACTTCACTTTTCGACGTGACTGACTTTTGACACCCTGAATACAAATCGACATTAACTGTGCATTTTTCATCTCTCTGAATCTTCTTGGCATTTAAAAACAAATACTCTGGATTCATTTTATTTCTCTTTTGCCCATTTTAACATTCCTTAGGTCTATACCAGTTTTTCCGGGTTCGAAACTTTATAGAATGCTGGAAAAAGAAACCCCTCACCCTTTTTGACGTCATTTTCAAGTCTTAATTTTTTGGACACTCCATATAAAATTTACGATAAAATTTCATAGAACGTACAGAATGGGGTAAAAATTGCAAATTTTACAGAACAATTGTGTCGTACAACATGCCTAAAATAACGGGACTTTTTGATGACAAATGCTTATATCAAAAGAGTTTTTCTCAGTTACACTCAGGTAGAAAAAACGTCATATTTGAGGTTGCGCCGCCTGGACATTGCTAACAAAAACACTAAAAATTGATTTAAAAAATAAAACTTATGATTTATGGTTTGTTCTATAGATAGAAAAGATGATGCTAACTAAATGTTTTAAAATTTATTGATGTACCTAAAGCGGTTTTAATCTTATGGCGCTAGTCCACGAACTTTTTGATAACCCCTCGTATGTGTTCAAAATTTATATTTAAATATAATTTAAAATTCAGTATGTTATATTGATTATTAAATGTGGTATTATACATTAATGCTTAAGCGATATGAATTTAAGAAAACACGCATTACCTTTCTGATAGATTATCCTATCCTATACTAAAGTTGTAAAATCCACGTCCCCTGTGTGAAGAGTTCAAGCCCCAGGGAGGAGCTAAATTTATCTTTACTTATAGGCATCTAGCACACAAACTGTTTACATAATTATCATGAGTAGTTAACTAATGATTCCAAGAAATTTTGATTTATTTTGTAAATCATTATTGTCCAAAATTTGCTTACATAATAATTGTTTTAAATCTTTTCTAAAGCAAGTCTGCCTTCAAAGTACCGACTGGCCAAAATAACATCTGAGAAAATGAACCCGTATTTGACGAAACTTGATTTCGCTCTTTCTGTATTTGTTTTTAAGATACAAGAAAATTTGCAACCGATATAAGTTGGTAATGCGAACTAAAAAAAACTGTATTCTGAATATTAACATAAAAAATTGAGCATTATTTACAATAATTTTTGTCCCTCACTTTCGCAAAAGCGGGGAGACTTTAAAACTCATTCGTCCGTCAGTCAGTCTGTCTGTCACAAAAACTTCATTCAATCATTACTTTTGAATGAGAAAAGGTATGGCTATTATATTTTACATGTACATTACCCGTGACAAGACCTTTCTAAATATACTAAGATGTTTGGCCCCATGACCTTGAACTTTGACCTACTTTTCAAAAAAATTACATTACTTTTACCTTGCTCGTTACTTTTAAATGAGAAGAGATAGGGCTTTCATAATTCACCTGTACATTGACCTACTTTTCAAAAACTTTTGAGTAAGAAAAGATAGGGTGTTCATATTTGACATGTGCATGACCTGTGACAAAACGTTGCCGAACATGCAAATCGGGAGCAGAGCGAAAACGGACCTCCAAAAACATCAGAGGTGGGATCAGGTGCCATGGAGGAGTGGGCATCTCCTGCCGACCGGTCATAACCGCCGTGTGCTCCTTGTCATGATCGGGAAAAAACGGAAAAATCCGTAGACATTTCAGTGTGTATATAATAGCCTAACAATTAGTCTGAAAAAAGTCAGTCAGCATTTGACTTAATGATTGGTTGGGTTTGCTGACAAGGTCATTGTATCGACCATAAAACTTGCGAAATGATGACTTCAAACGATACTGTTGATATCCCTGTTTCATCAACTTGTTTGTCAATAGTTTGTTTATACGTAGATGTAGAACATGCTCTTGTGTATCGAATCAACTGGGGGAGAAAACTCCATGTGCACGTGATAAGGGTATATTGCTACATAAGTAAGGGAAGTTGACTTTTGAAAAATTGAAGTCATCACGTTTATCATAAAGTTACCATTAATGTCTCTTTAAGTAAAATATCCTAATATAAAACAGATGTATCTGATTCTGTGGTATCTTTTATTTCAAGCTCACTTGGATATATTGAGTCGACATTTGAATGGTAGTAACTATTGTTAATTGATAATACGTCGTCAATATATCTAAATGTCGAGTTGAAGGTCACAGCAAGTGTTTTCTTCTTCTCATGTAGAAGTTTTTGAATAAATTCTGATTCATATGAATACAAAAATAAGTCTGCTTATAACGGGGCACAATTGGTACCATTGGAATTTTAACATTTTGTTGGAAAACCTGATCTACAAAAACTACATAGATATTGTCAATCAGAAACCTAAGCATCTTTTTAATATCAACTTCAGAGTACTTGTGTGTACAATCAGAATGTTTTTTTGAAAAAAATTACAATTGCAATTAACCAATGACAAGGTAAGTATATGTATATTTACGAGTTCCATATTTATTGTTCATGTATTTTATCGAAAAAGACTGTACAAGGGCTAGATATGTATTAGATCAGTAAGTCTCAGTAGTTAATATGGAATTTAATACTTACTTGCTATTGCCAGTGTTTTATTTTCCAGTAACACTGAGAGCAGGTAATAGGTGTACACTCCTTCATTATTTTTTGTTATGTTACCAATGCAAACCGAAATATAGGACTCATTTGCCACACAGCTAAATGGTTCCCTTAAACCTGAATCGAATACAAAGCCTATGTCTTTTGATCCGCTGAACTGTATACACAGTACATAATTTCCTCTTTTGATTTTTCTATCTGTGTCAATTCTATCGGCCTGTGAGAATGATAAGCAGGCATCTGAACCTTCCTCAATATAAATTGTAGAAAACAACCCTGAAAAATGATTAAAATTTTATCTAGACTTAATTATGTAAGGAATTAATAAACTGGTACCGGTTAAGTATGAACTCTTCTTACTTTATGAGCAAGGTATAAGCTAATACAAGGCAAAAAAGGACAAAACGACATAGAAATAGACAAAGGACAATATGACCCTGATATAAGATTTTGGATAAAATCCATTGTTAATGACGAAATTGCATTTAATAATTCTCCTTTTTTAGATGTTAAAATTCAAAACTTAATTGATGAATAAGATTTAAGATTTAAATAATCTGTAAAATCTCTTAATTTTAAGATTGCATTATAGTGGATTTTTAGTGGATTCAAATATATTTTGAAAACTAAATACTCCAGTACATGGTAAGTAATTAGGATTTGTCAGACTTGTGAAGGGGTTTATTTCCTGTCTCACTGAAGATACTTTTCAAGGGGGGGGGGTGCATATATCACAGGAAGGGATAGATACCGAGTTTATTCATGTTTTTACTTTAATTCATATGTGTTACAAAATTTTTAAGCTTTTCATATTTTATGTAAAACAATGGATGCGTTTTGCCTTGCTCTTTCCTTTTTCAGTATTGTAAGCTATCTAAGAAAGTTAGTATTTGACATATTGTGGGTCAATCTACTGTAACAGGAGGGAAAAAATGTCGGCCAGACTGGGACTCGAACCCGGGACCTCCCGCTAACCGTGCGGGTGCTCACCTAAGGGCACTAATTAGCACCTGTTAATCAATTCTTACACAAGCTGTAAACAAATATGGCAAACAAAGGATTAGAAGCCATTGGACTAGGTATTTTAACTGTCAATTCATAAACATCTTAATCAAAATATTTAATTTTTTTATAAATCATACACACTCAGAGAGATTATTTTGATTCAGAGTTTTAAAGAAATTGTGTTAGACTTCTTAGAGGAAACAGCAATTCACTAAAAAGGGGAAATATGTAAATTCCTCTTAAAAAATAACCATCTACTCATTATAAACAATAGTAAAAAACCTTGTTCTATTTCGCACTATTTTATTTATCATTTATCAGCGGGTTTTAAGATAAACTTGATTTTTGAAAGGAAAACAAATTGGCCAAAGAATGGGAGCAGGGAAGTCAGAACTGCTACACGGTCAGGCGCGTAGCCAGAATGGAAATGAAGTGTACGCAGAGAATGGCAGGGCGTCTGGGGTCTTGACCCCCCCCCCCCCCCCGTAGGTCCAGGACGAAACCTTGGTGAGGGGCCAGGGGGCGAAGCCCCCGAAAGCTCCTAAGTTTTACCAATATTTCATTCATTTTCTTGCAAAATAAAAAATTATGCCATTTCGCCTTTTAGAAAATAAAAGACATAGTACATGTAATATTGTTTTTAACGCAAAGTTTATACTTCCATAGAAATTTATTGTACGTGCAATCGAGGCTAAATATTTTACCGATATTTTGGTATCATATACTCTATATTAATGTTCAACAACGAGTATAATAAATGTTAGTTATTAACAAAGAATATTGCATTTTAATCATATACGAGTAGATCATAGCATTCAACGAAATGTTTGAATTATGATTTCTCAAAGATCTTTTTAAAAAAAAAAATATACGTGTATAATAGAACAATTACAAAATAATCAATGATTTATTTGGAATTGTCAATGATTTAATTAAAAATTTCAAATTTGATTATACAGACATGATAATATTAAATTTGATTCGAAACAGTATGACAAAAAACAATTTGAAACACAAAAAATTGTTGGTTGGTACTGAGGGTTTTTTTTTTCAGAATAACCTTCCGTCTCTCTCTCTCTTCTAATTATTTATCTATTTATTTTATTTTTGAAAATGATGTGTACGCACTTGCGTATTTGCGTATCGGCAGCTACGCCCCTGACAGTACATGTATGTGCGTAGCACTCATTGAGTTAGCAGCAGAACTGCGGCGTTATGGTTTTATATTTTAGTCATCAAAAGCGAGATATCGTCAGTAATTCAACATGGCTGTCGGAAGACAGAAGAATTTATTGGTCTGCAGATACGACTATAAAGGGTAAGGAGGTGGATAAAATATACAGGTATAAAATATATCTAGAATTAAGGAATGAGAGGATGTTGATCGACCAATGCTGGAAAGTGAAGAAATACATCCTAAACCTTGCGCAGTAAATTGCAATTTATTTGCATTACGGGATCTGTGCGTTATGGTCAAAGATTATTCTAAATATGGCCCTTTTCAGATTTTTATAATTGAGGAAAATTTACATATCAAAGTATAAGAAGGTAAAAGTGTAACCGGCTAGGTATTTTAAAATTTATTTGTATCTTTCTTAAGGAAATATTAAGCGATTGGTTCGTACTGCTCCATGTTTGACTATGTTATTTACATGTAGGTTGAAAATATGTTTTTTACAGCTTAGTAGTAAAAGATATCATTCTAAAAATAAAAGCATCATTCAGTTTGTCATGTGCCTCTTATTATTCCATTAAACGTGCTCGGCTATTTTCGAGAAGACTACAAACTAATCTTCGAAAGACCATCCGTTGACCACACTCTGCGGTGAAACTTGCTGTGCGGCCTTTTCTTTTTGTCAGTGCTATGAAACCAGTTTTAAAACATATTTATGCTCAAATCAATTTTGTAAGCATTAGTCTGCTTATGATCTGGCATTTTTTTTATTTATTCATAAAACTTTTGATAATAAAAAGATGAAGAAACACGAGTTGGAGGGAAAAAGTAGCAATCACAAGTTATGGAATCTGTAATTATACCCCCTACAAAATAGGTCGATTTGACAAGTGTTTTTATTAAGGATGTTAATTCTTGTTTCCATACATCTCTGTGCCTCGTCGTGAATCTGTTTCACGAAAGATGATATAAAATCAATAAACTGTTCAAAAATTTAATATAAAAGAAAAACATAAAAGATAAACTGTGCTTACGTTTATTCCAAAGTGATAATTCCACAAAAATGAGTAAAAACAATTGTTTACACTCCATGTCGACATCTGAAATACCCCCTTGCTTGGCGTATATGCATTAAAGCATACAGCTCGTGAAGTGCACGGTTGCCATGTCAGTATCTCATAAACTTCCTGGTTTTACGTATGTACTCCACCATACGGTTTGATAAGACACTTCAATGTACGACTGCCTTAATTGTTTCTAAGTTGTTAAGTTAATTCTTCCTTTTTAATATCTGTAACTAACGAAAACTGAGGATAAATGGAGATTACTCCTGAAATGACCCCCCCCCCCCCAAAAAAAAGAAACGATTTTATCTGTGTATCTCATTTGACATCAACAAGTGAACGTAGCTATGTTCCGTACTATTTTATTAAAGGGTGACAGTCAAAGTGTCCCCTAACATATCAGCCACGGTAAAAGCGCACCACACTTTTAGGCAATATTCCTCCTAATTTTGGTGAAAACGCCCCGTAATATAATTTAATAGAAAATTGTCATGCAAGCGTCCCCAAGTAAAATTCAAAGCGCCACGAAGCATTGATTACAGCGCCTCCAAGTTTTGGTCAAACCGTCCCCTGTCATAATTTAAATAAAATTGTCGGACGGGTACGAATCTCTCTCAAGCTTTTGGTCAAAGCACCCCCTAATTTTGGCGATGCGTATTTTTTTCTTCAGAATATCATTTATTTTATAGAAATTGTCGATAGAAACCTTTTCCTTATCTAAAAATAATAGACATGTATTTTTGGGGTGCTTTGACCAAAAGTTTAATGTTTTAATGTTTGAAAAATGTTTCTGTCTCTGTGTGTAGGTGTGGATGTGTGAGAGAGAGAGGATGTGTGGGGGGGGGGGCTTCGATTTTGTTAAGCTGGTATTCACATATCTATATAAATGCTTTTTATGCCCCCGTAATCGAGGATTCGGGGATATATACTTCTTGCCCTGTCCGTCCGTCTGTCTGTTTGTCCACAAAAGCTTTAACATTGCCCATAACTTTTGACTGGTTGGAACTATGGCTTTCATATTTCACATGTGTGTTTCTTGTGACAAGACCTTTCTTTGGGTATCAACATATTTGACCTCTTGATCTTGACCTTAGAGTTTGACCCACTTTTGCAAAAATTTACCCAACTTTAACCTTGCCATAACTTTGGAACAGTTAGTGCTAGGGCTTTCACATTTCACATGTGTATTCAAGACATTTCAATGGGTGTTAATATTTTTTGACCTTGACCTTAGAGTTTGACCCACTTTTTAAAAAACTCTAATCTTGATAATAACTTTTGAACAATTAGCACTATGGCTTTCAAATTTCACAGGTATATTCCTTGTGACAAGACCTTCCTTTGGATACAAACAATTTTGACCTTGAAATTTGACCTACTTTTGAAAAACTTTAACCTTTGCATATAACTTTTGAACAGTGTGTGCTAGGGGTTATATATTTTGCATGTGTATTTCTTATGATAAGATCTCCCCCTACATACCATTAATTTTGACCCATTGACCTTGACCTTGGAGTTTGACCTACTTTTAGAAAACATTAACCTTGACGGTAACTTTTGAATGGTTGGTGTTTGGGCCTTCATATTTGCCAGGTATATCCATTGACACAAGCCCTTCCTTTGGGTAACAACATTTTTTATCTCTTGACCTTGGACTTTAACTTGCATTTAAGAAACTTTAACCTTCGCCTTAAGCTGCTATGCTGGGGACATCAGTGTTTTATGTTAAAATAAGTAATGCCAAAAATTAATGAAAAAAACCTGAATAGTGTAGGTATTCTTTCAAAATTTTATACATATCTTCAATGAACAAAGGGGAGTATAAACCCAGGTCTTTGATATATTCCTGTTTATAAATAGAATAGATTTTATAGAAATTTTAAAAAATGAAAATGAATGTCTCATGGAATAATTTAATTAGAAATTAATATAATTTCTTTTACTTACTTTTGCCCCTTTTGCTTACACGCCCTACAATCTTATCCTTATGGTCATTTCTTTTGAGTGACGCTGTATGTCTTGTATTTCACAGAAGGGTGATAGTCAACAGCTCAGCCACTGTAAAACTTGCATGATTGATACTGTAGTATTTTAGAATTTTTCAATATAATAATGAAAAAAAGGTTGTATACATCGAAGTTTAAACTCTTCAACAGTTATTAAAAATTCATTACATCATCATATTTCAGTGAAGATAGAAATACGTTACTTCTAGAGTTAAAAATGTTGATAGCCAAAGAAGGGCCTTGTCTTGAGGAATTCACATGTGAAATACAAAAGCACTAACATCAAGCATTCAAAAGTTATGACCAAGCTTAAACAATTTCAAAAGTAGGTCAAACTCCAAGGTCAGGGTCAAAGGGTTAAAATTGATGGTACCCAAGAGAAGGTCTTGTCACATGGAATACCCCTTGTAAAATATGAAAGCCCTAGCACCAACTGTTCAAAAGTTATAGCCAAGTATAAGATTTTCAAAAATAAATGTAGGTTAAACTTCAAGATCAAAAGGTAAAAATTGTTGGTATCCAAATAAAGGTCTTGTCAAAAAATTACGTTTCATATTTGGAAAAGACGTTGATGGTAATCTAACAACAAAGCTTTATGATAAACGTGATGACTTTAACTTTTCAATCGTCAACTTCCCTTACTTATGGAGCAATATACTTTTTCCACCTCCATAAGGGGGACATATCTCTCAGTTTATTCGATACGCAAGAGCATGCTCTACGTATGACCAATTTCTAAAACGAGGAAGGTTATTGACAAACAAGTTGATGAAACAAGAATATTAGCAATAAAGTAATCATTTCGTAAGTTCTATGGTTGATACAATGACCTTGTCAGCAAATACAATCTATCATTAAGTCAAATGCTGACTGACTGTTTCATACTAATTGTTAGGCCATTATTTACACACTGAATTATCGACGGATTTTTCCGTTGTTTCCTGATCATGACAAGGGGCACACGGCGGGTGTGACCGGTCGGCAGGGGATGCTCACTCCTCCATGGCACCTGATCCCACCTCTGATGTTTTAGAGGTCTGTGTTTGCTCTGATCCTGATTTGTATTGTTTAACGGACTTTGAAGCTTGAATACTGTTCGTTATTTCCATATATTTCATGTGAAGTATGAGAGCCCTAGAACCAACCGTTCAAAAGTTTTGGCCAAGGTAAAGGTATGGTAAAATTTTGCAAATGTTGGTCAAACTCCACGTTCAATGTTTAAGGGTCAAGTATGTTGATACCCAAAGGAAGTTCTTGTCACAAGCAAGACACATGTGAAATATGAAAGTCATAGCTCCAACCAATCAAAAGTTATAGGCAAGGTTTAAGTTTTTGCCGACAAACAGACAGAAAGACGGACGGACAGAACAGAGACTATATGCCCGCGAATTTTCGATTACAGGGGCATAAAAACGGGACAAAATGACCTGTGATTAAAAAAAAACAGACGCTTAGAACTTTTTATGGACAACAGTTGGTCTGCCCTCATCATACTCTTGCTTATTAATACACAATGTATGGAAGGTGGAGAGTGAAGAAAGAAGGGATCCACCAATCCATGCAGAATACTTCCTCTCCGGGGAAGAGATAATTCTGATTTCTGCATTGCTAGGAGCAATCGCGGATATTTCCTTCTGCATGCGTTCAGTTATTCCTGGAAACATGGTGGATCCTCCAGAGAGAACGATGTTAGCGTACAGGTCTCGTCTTATCTCAGGTTCACACTTCATAATGGAATTGTGCACCATTTTGTGGACACCATCTTCTTCTTTTCCCAAGGCCGAAGGTTTAAACAAAGCCTCAGGACAACGGAATCTTTCATTGCTTAAAGTGACGGCTTGTCCATCAGGAAGTTCATAGGTTTTCTCTGATTTGGACATCATTTCTTGTTCAAAGTCTAGAGCAACATAACAAAGGTTTTCCTTGATTTTACGCATGGTTTCAAACTCAGTTGACGATGTAAAGGAATATCCACGTTCGGTAGACATTTTAGAAAGGTATCGTGTTAAATCTCTGCCTGCCATATTCAAACGTAGGGTTGCATGGGGCAAGGCGCGTCCGTCATTGATAGGAACGGCATGGGATACACCATCCCCAGAGTCCATTACAACACCATTGGTTCTACCACAATGGAGCAGTGACAGCGCAGCTTGATTGCCTATATGTATAGCAGGAGAGTTGAAGGTCTCAAACATAATTTGAGCCATTTTTTCACGATTGACTTTGGGATTAATCGGTGCCTCTGTTAGTAATACTGGATGCTCTTTCGGTGTAACTCTCAGCTCATTAAGGAAGATGTGATTCCAGATTAGTTCCATGTCGTCCCAGTTCGTAATGATGCCATTCTGAATGGGATTCCTCACAGCGAGGATACCTCTCTTAAGCTGTGCTTCTTGTCCTACAAAACTGTTCTTTTTTCCTCTAGCAAACAATTTTGCCTGAAATCAAACGATATATTATAAGCAATGTTTGCATCGTACACACTTTCGGTGCATTAAAAACAGTGTATGTAAATACGATCGAGTATTAATTATTGTTACTTGTAAGTTTGTAAATGACTTACATTCCGGATTTGAAAAGATACTTTGAGCAATCAGACAATTTTTATGCGATAAATTTCCAAGCTTAACGCAGTAGAATAATCTTGACATGTAAATATTTAATCATTAATTAAAGAGAGAATACAGCTCAGCCATTTGATAAACAATTATACATGTATATGCAACAAACGTACAATTATCTCACAGACAGACAGACAACATAAAATTTTCTCACAGACAGATATATGACACACAAGGAAAACCATTTATAAAATAAAGAATCATCTTTACTTGGACAAATTTATATGTATCTTAACAAAGTAAGAGACGGATTGAACTTTTCATTACACAAGAAGGCTTTGATTGTATTGGACTTTTTTTTACTGTCCTCCTTCCAAAAAAAAAGAGAGAGAGAATGAAATGAACTAGTGAGTTTGTACTTTCCACTAACTTAAGCCCAAGATCAAAGGATATTAGTAATGGGTTAAATTCGGGGAAAAATTGAAAGGTGATATGCCTAGAAAGTTTCCACACTTTGTCTGGTGATGATGAACATAAGTCTTAATATGTTTTAATTCTCTGAATCCATTTAAACCATACAAACTTGAATCGGCTATGAATTATACCCGTAACAATCCATAGATAATTTTCAATGTATTGAAGAAGGCTGTCGTTTCAAATGTTTCGATTTTGAATTTTAACGTCTACGCCATTTACTGTGATTGCTTGAATGCTTGCTGAATGCTTGCTGATCAATACATAGGGCTCACGGCGGATGTGACAGGTCAACAGGGGATGCTTACTCCTTCTAGGCACCGGATCCCACCTCTGGAATTTCCAGGGGTCCGTATTTTATGCCCTCTTCACAGATTTGTATTATTTGTAGATTTGTTTTGATATCGATCGCTGTTCGTTATCTTCACCTTTTACACTAGTTCTATGTTTAATTTTGCTTCTAATTTTTGTGATTGAATGCATTTTGAACTTGTAAGCTGTTTTTTAATTATTATTTTTGATTTTTTTTTAAATTTTATTATAAATATAGAATAATAGATTTTAACCTAACAGGGACTGAACATTGCTATTTAAAAAAAAAAATAGAGAATTAGAGTAAAGATTATTTAAAACATCAATTTTGATTGTGTCTTTTTGTTTGTTTTATTAAGTATCTAAGTGAATTTTATTCTGCACAGAACCTGTGAATCAAAACTTTTTTATCAAAGAATATTTCAATTATATGAGTGTTTTAATTCAGTTTAAGGCGTTTTTAAATTTTCTTTATGAAAATCAAAAAAAATCAAAGCAAAACAGAAATAAATCTATAGCGTTTGAACCAAATTCGAGAAAAATGGAGGTCGCAGACATTTTCAATTTACGCTAGTAAATTATCATGCTTGTTTATTGACAACCGTTACAGTCTACAGATGAGTAAAAAAGCTCTAAATAATCCATAAATACATAAATATCAGGACAAATTCAGGTAAATTTGAATTAATACAGCAGTAAACTCATATCCTCAGCTATTTTTAATATTCACTATATCCAAAGTTCACAAACATCCGTATTTTAATCATGTATTTATCAATGAAGGAACATACACTGAGGTTGCACATACAGTATCCTGTTGTCTTTTTCATTCATTTACAAGTAAAATTAACTTTTTAAATGCATGCTTCTTTGTCATTTTTAGATTAAACTAATTTTAATATCTATTACAAATATTCAATCAGTTATTGTTCGTAATAAAATGTAATATGATGCTCTTTTGCTTGTTAATACGACCTATCATTTCATTTACTCTACCCCTCCCCCTCCTTTTCTACGTCAACAACGCTAAAAATCACAAAAATACCGAAGATAACCCAACTTTTAGAAGAAAAAACTATAAAGACAAAAGGTCCATCGACTACAGCGCTCATCTGAGTCACTAAATTGGCCCAGCAGATTTTTTTTTAAAACTTCAATATCAATACTATCAACGTGATGTTTTGCTGCTGCTCTGGTGAATATATTTCCCTGTACACATGCATTATGAAAAGTTCGAATTTCTGCTTTCGGCTCCACTCTAACCCCTGGACTCAGAATTTTAAAAAAAATCTACTTTACACGTCTTAGGTATGTTTTGCTTATTGATAAAATTTAGTGTTATCTTTCAACTCTTTTTTAAGATTTCATCCTATGTACTCCCTTGTAAACCTCTGATCCCTTTTTGTAGTGCCAACCCTAATCTCTAGCGCCCTGATCTAAATAAATTTAAATCTAAATTACTTGAGGATGCTAGCTTATCAATATGCCTAATCCTGGCTTTGCTGTTCATTTGAGGAAAAACTTTTAATATTTTTACAGATAGATCTCCTACGATAACCCGACCCTGTCCCTGGAGGTATCGATTTATCCAAACTTGAATTTACACTACCTGAGGATACTTCCACAATGATATGACTAAATGGCTTTGTTATTCTCTAAAAGATTTTTGAAGATTGTTTGTATTCCTATGTAATACTTAGCCTATTGCGGCCCCACCCTACCCTGGGTGTCATAATGTGAACAAACTTAAATCTACACTACCCGAGGATGCTTCCATATAAATATACATAATGATTCCTCTGTTGTTCTGCGGAAAAAGATTTTTGTTTCCTATATATTTCCTATAAACATGTATATTCCTTTCTAAAACTTTGATCACCTTTTATGGCCCCGACCTAGCCTCTGGTGTTAGGATTTGAACAAACTTGAATCTACACATGAATCTACACTTATGAAGCTCTTACATGTTTCATCTTTTCTGGTCCAATGGTTCTTGAGAAGAACATTTTAACAAAAATTCCTAAATATTCTTCTATAAAACCTTCTCACCTACTATGGCTCCGGCCTAGCCCGGGGGCTTCCAGAAATAAATATGACTAATCATGGCTTTGCTGTTCTAGGTTAGACAATTTTGGATAAACTATCTATTATATCTAGAAACCGTCATTTTACACGAATGTACATATGTACATTACCCTGTGCCTTGGTTTTCCCACAAAGGATGGAAATATGTACCTCGGGGTATCATCTCCGGCAAATCCAGCTTTGATCGTATCCGATCCATTATCAATAACAACAGTTATCCTTTGGTCAGCCATATTGAGGAAGTGGCGCTTGTCCTTTCGAGTATCCGGATGTTGAAGGAAACATGTACACTGAAGTTTTAACCCACCATCTCAGAGAAGCAGATATATTAATGATGTAATTAATTTTACGAATAAAGTCCTGATGATTAGGCAAATTAAAATAAAGGTAAAAAAAAAATAATCAGTCAAAATGAATCCCAAACAAAGGCATTTATGATAAAATGACATTTAAGTTATATAAACATCATATACTTACCTACAGAAATACATATTTCCACGTTATCAACAGAAAATGTCATTCAAACTTTGAAATTATAACTGTTCAGTATCACTACAGAGACAAGCTAAGCTAAAAATTTCTAAGATAACTTTACATTTTATATGTTCTCTAAATATCAATTTACGCAGTATATAGAACAATTTTCCTTCACTCAACCACTTCAGCCAAATGTACTTTATACCTCATGTTGAAATTGGTAGCCAATTCGTAAAAAGTATATGTTGAAATGATAGTCTGAACAGTGAAAAAGAAATCGACTTTTAGTTGTTATTGACGACACATTCAACAAATTCTGTAGTACATCATGAAAGAGACGTTTTCCATCTGTTCAATTTCATTTAATTTCTATAAAATACTGAGTTGATTCTGACTGGATAAAAATTTTTATTGATAACTGCATCAATAGAATCTGGAGTTCACTTTTACTTAGCAGCCGGAACTACTTTGGCTTACTTTACATATTTCCACTTTTAGAGTACTTTGTGAAAGAAAAATGAAATATTTTTGCTCTATTTTCCTGAATTTAAAAACTTGTCCGTTACATTCCTGAGTTCTTTTCTGCTTTCGTTTCTTTTCGAATTATCCCCCTTTGCTATAAGCTCCATACGATAATTTGTCGGCACGGACATGCACAGGTACTATTATACGACCGACGACATCCAAAAATAAAAAAAATATCAATGCTTATACAATCATGTAATTACATTCTCTAATTTTCTCCCTCATTAATTTTAAATGAATTTCATTCTTCTTTATTAAAGATATATCGCCTTTCGGAACTGGTGTGGTTAATAGACGTAAGTATGAGGCGCCGTTTTTGGTATTTATTGCCATTTAGTGATATCACCTATTCGAATAGGTGATATCACCTATTCGAATAAGTGATATCACTCAATCAAGTTGAATAGGTGATATCACCTATTCGAAAAGGTGATACATGTATCACTTATTCGAATAGGTGATATCACCTATTGGAAATAAATAGGTGATATCACCTATTCGTGCTGAATAGGTGATATCACCTATTCACATGGCCGTAGGAACCGGGGGGGCACGGGGGGGCCGTGCCCCCCCAATAATTTTGCCGATATATAGATTACTATAGTAAACATAGATACTATAAGCATGTGCCCCCTCAATAAAGCCGCCTGATGACCTTTTTTTTTTTTTTTTTTTTTGCTTGTCAAGGAATATTTGGTAGTTGACGACCTTTTTTTTTTTTTTTTTTTTTTTTTTTTTGCTTGTCAGAAAATTTTTGGTAGTGCCCCCTCAACTGTCAACTGAAAAATGTTTGGCTGTGCCCCCCCCCCCCCCAAACTGAAATTGCTTCCTACGGGCCTGATTCAAATAAATGATATCACCTATTTGCATTTCTTACAACAATAAATAATGAACGCTCACTTCCTCAAAACTATCTAGATTTCCATTAGAACCAAGCGAATTCGGGCTGCCCTGTTTTCTTCTGTAATTGAGTAGGAGACATTTTAAATACCTTATATTATCGACCCCTGTAGAGTTATATGAATTTTATAAATTATACCAAGCTGGGGTACAACAGAGTGGATACCTTTCTCTCTTTATTATAAATGTAACGTGGGGCATTTTCCGTATGGAACAGTGATTATCTTTATTTTCACGATTTTTCCTATAGTATGCATTATAGATACATGTAAGTGTAAAAAATATAATCTGTCAGCAAAACAAACTACAAATTCTACTGGGGTGCTTAAAACTAAATGCGAAGCTGTAATCCATTGTCTCCAAGAACGATAAGTTACAAAACGAAAGTGAAAGTAAATGAGAATTAAAGGCTATAGTCTTGGGATCAGTTGTTATTTCATAAATAATTTGAATAGGTGATATCAAACCGTTTGATTAAAATGATAAAGTGATATCACCTATTCGAATAAGTGATATCACCTATTCAAAAGGGATAAGTGATATCAAATATTTGAATGGGTGATATCACCTTTTCGAATAAGTGATATCACCTATTCGAATAGGTGATATCACCTATTCAAATAAAAAAAACCTCTCAAAATTCAAAGACATAAGTTAAAATTAGCCGTTCGTAGTTTTTTGTTTGTTTGTTTGTTTGTTTGTTTGTTTTTGCAAGGTCCAAAGGTCAAGGTTAAGTGGACTGTTACTCTGTAATTTTTTTGATATTATTTTATGTCAAACAGTGCACATGCTAAATAGCGTGAACTTAAAAATAATAATTAATAATAATAATAAACTTAACTCTTAAATGTCAAAATATGCTGTATATCGGCACTATGAACTATTTTGAAATGTAGAACTGGTCAAATGTCAAGTTCAAGAATCACGAGGTCGGTAACCTTTGTATTTTACAAAAGCCATAATGTCAAGCAATTCAGTAATATTCAAAATATCAAACTCAAACCTCTACAGGTCCAGAGATATAAAATGTGACAGGAGGACAGGCGAACGGACGGAAAGCTAGACAGATGTCGGGTAAAGCGGTAATCGACCGATGTATATTTCATCGCTCATACATTGATGAACATCGTTTGTTCATCGGTCGACTATGGGCCAATGTTTGGTCGAACATCGACCGATGATCGATCGATATCTGTTGCCCACCACTCACCCCCGATGACCTCAGATTCAACGGACACTGGACGATGCTCGGCCATACATCGGCCGATCCTTGAAAGATGTGTTAATTATGGGTTGCCAATGAGGAGCGATGTGGGGCATCGGTGGAGACATCGCTGATTTTTAACTACAACTTATTTTCTCCCGATGACCCCCACTGATTTGCCCTATGGCCTCAGTCACCGTCCGATTACTATGGGTGTCCGGCCGGCAACCACGCCATTTTTATCAAAAAACGCATCGGTTGCCCATTTTATACCCCTCGCTGGATAATGTGACTGATACTTATGGGTGTCCGGCCGACAACCACGTCATTTTTATTTAAAAAAAAAACCGCATCGGTTGCCCATCGTCTACCCCATCGCTGGATAATGTGACTGATACTTAAGTGTCGCTCTGCAGGTGACACAGAAATGGTGATAAGAGTGGATATATTTAGCAGAAGAAATAAAATTAATACTAGATAGTTACATTGAGTAAGTTTATAGATATTCACATTTTGATCAGAAGGGCAATTACTTGTTATCTGCTTATCGGTACATATTTTGCAAAATGTTGTTTATACATGTACCCTATTATCTAGGTGTGCATGGCACTTAGAAAATATAATTTTGTAGCCGTTTCCTCTTGTACACTTGTTTTCGCTTGTGTCATTCTTATTTTTGGCATGGAATTGAATGTATAGAGTACGATTGACGAACTGAACTTGTAGATTGATTTTTTTTTTTTCAACATTCAGTTGTAAGTATCAATTTTGAGATTTTTGGTGTACGAAGTCTGATTAATAATAATTGAATCAGGAATTTGTATGTAAAAACTTATTTTGTCTTTATTCTTAGAAACTTGATTTTTCTTTACTTAAAAGGTGTATATGCTGCATTAATTATATTATTTATCGTTTAACTTTAGCTTCTGCAAATTATCAAATGAGTGTATCGTTACATGATGATGTGTTATGCAAGTGCACTATTATACGGAAGCCGGTTGGTGCCAGGTAGAAAAAATATTTTATCTGGCGGCCGCCAGATAACTTTCTGGCGGCCGCCAAATAATTATCTGGCGGCCGCCAGAAAATTATTTGGCGGCCGCCAGAAAGTTATCTGGCGGCCGCCATATAAAATATTTTTCTACCTGGCACCTACCGGCTTCCGTACTATTACATAATGAAATTTATTTATAATGTTCATAGAGCTTTGGACTCTGTATCATGACAAGTAAGCCTTGATAAATCAGAACTTTATTAACAGTGCATAAGAAGTGAGACGGGTTTATTTCTTTGATAAAACACGTATTTAAGTTGTTGCCGAGCAAATTGTTTAGCACTTTTATAAGTGATTAAATGCATTGATATATAGTTAGTTGTAGAGAAAAATTCGGTTATGAAAATTTATAATGAATGATTTTGTGCGTGTGTGTGCAGTGTGCAAATTTTCTTTGTGATGCAAAAAATTGAAATATTTCCCTTAATGTTAATTATGAAGCACAAAAAACTTTCCGTGTGGTGTGAACAAGGAACATATAATATATAACTGAAGAATAGCTATTATAATTAACCTTTAGTTATTTATTTTGTATAACGATGAGACTTTCCGGCAATCCGATTTTGATGAAAAAACGGGAAGTTCATCACACATTACATGCACGTATCTTATTTTTGTGGATTCATGGTGTGCTCTTAAAATGAGGTACAAGTATTTACTTATCACTTTTATTTTAATTTTTCAAATAGAAGTTGTGAAGAATGATTGTATTTTTTAAATGAAACAAACGATAATGAAAAGTGATTGAAGATACATGTAATATATCATTGAAAATCAAGAGTTATCGTTAGTTCACTTCATTTTCGTGTTATGAAATATTTAACATTAAAATCTTACATAAATATGTGTAGAGTAATTTCATGATATCTGGGTGGCTAGTATTATGTACTATAGCGTTCACTATCTTAGGTCTGATGGAATTCGAGCAGGCAACAGGGGCTTTTTCTATAGCTAACTATTTCACGATTTATTTTTTTTTTGGGAGGGGAGTTATTTCCTGCTTAAAAAGAGACGTGCTCTTTCATAAATTATTTGAAAGAAATTGCGATCAATTCTGCCCAAAAGAAAGATCCAGTCAAACTGATATGGACATACTTTGTCATTACATAATATTTGTAAATTACGTGCTGTATCTTTCATTAATTGAATTAAATCTAACGCAAAAATAATAAGAATAATTTTATCATTACACAGTATGATATGGATTCTTTTACTTCTTTCGCCTACGATATTGGATGGATTTTATGTTTTATGTCTGTCTATCTTTCTGTCTGTCTAGCTGTGTGTCTAGCGGTACAAAAAATTGAAAATGTTATGAACGAATTTCAATGAAATTTACTTAAAAGTAAACCTTTGGATAAACCCCACAATGTATACTATAATTTACTCCAAATAAAGTGAAATTCTGATGAAATTAATTCCCTCAACTAACTCATTAGTTTTCTTCAAAGCAAACATCAGACTTTTTATCCATTTCTTTTTTCTTTTCCTAGCTCTTACTCAAGATATTATCTGAAAAACTTTGTTTAATTTCAGTAAGAAATGCAATAGCATCATATAAATATATTTGGGAGGCTTATTTAGGATGGAGTCTATGGTTATAGGCTCTGGAAAGGGTTGATTCTGATGTTTCAATTTTTCTACTGTTTAGAATATATATATATATATATATATATATATATATATATATATATATATATATATATATATATATATATATATATATATATATATATATATATATATATATATATATACTTTTGTAGAATAAACGTGTAAAAGTGGCGTTGATATGAAGAGATTTCGCCTAAAACGTAATTAAGTTTCATTACATTTATAAGTATCGTAATTTTTTTTGCTGATTTTTTAAAAATGAATTTGCAATGAATTCTGGTTTTAAAAAACAAAAAAAAAATGCCTAAAACGATTTCTATATAATTTATTCACCTTTTTGCTTCAGATTCTGTGTTTCTTGTGACGTTCGGGTTTTTGTTTTTCTATACGATTGGGAACGTATATGACGTACAAACATGGCTACCAAGTATCAGCACTAGGACTGAAGATATACATAACGACCACGACAACACGAGTATTGTGTGTGTCAATTTTAAAGGACGACTCGGAAATCTTATGATGGAATATGTCTTCTTATACATAATAGCGAAGATTAAAAAACTATATCCTATCCTCCCTGAAAATTCAGAATTAGTTCAATTGTTTAACATTCAAGAAACGACACTTCGGGCGATAAAGAAACCCCAAAATGCGTGCTCAAAATTACCATTACACAAAGAAAGATGGGGACTTACATATGACGAGAATTTGCTCAGTGTACCGCCTTCCAAAGGAGTGAGATTTGATGGTTACTTTCAGTCATGGAAATACTGGATAAAAAATGAAAAGGAAATTCGGGATATTCTAACTTTCAAAGAACCGATACGGAAAAAAGCATACACACAGCTGAGGGATATCCTGAATCAGATGAAGTTTATTGCGACTAAGGATAGCGTTATAGTTAGCATACATATCCGAAGAGGGGATTATGCAACAGAACAACATTATAAGTATGGCAAATTAACACCAAATGAAACTTACTACAAGCATGCCATGGACTATTTTAAAAAGCGGTATCGAAAAGTTTTATTTATTGTAGGTTCTAATGACATGGAATGGTCTAAAAATGCACTAGCTACTGAAACAAATGTTTACTACTCAACAGGGAATTCAGCAGCAGAAGACATGGCCCTGCTTTCTCTCGCCAATCATACCATCATGTCTGTGGGAACTTTTGGCTGGTGGATTGGATGGATGGCGCGAGGAACCAGTTTATATTATAAAAACATCTTTAGACCCGGATCTGAATTTGCCAAAGAGTTTCGAAATAATTCAGTTGAGGATTTTATTTACCCCGGATGGATTCCAATGGAATAAATGCAGAATTATATTTTTCAAGAACAAAGTTGAAATTTTAAAGGTTTCCAAACTCAATTTGGCAGATGATTCTTTTGATAATTATGCTAAGCTTTGACGCCTTTCTTGTTTCGATTTTATTTTTATTTTTAGGTCATATGGGTAACTCAGATGATCTATTTCTATCTGTTTTCGTCCGCCGTCGTACGTCGTTCGTGATCTTTGAACATTTTCAGCTTTTTCTTTAGAATGGCTGCATGGACCAATTTCAACCAATTTTCTAATAAAGCATCTATGGTTAAAGGGGGAAAAGTTGTCAATAATATGGCTCTGCCTGCTTGGGCCTGAGGGTAAGACCAAAGCCATTTTAAAAAATTAATCCTCGAAAACCTCTTCCTTTGTACATCTAGCAGGAAAACTATCGACATGATTTTTATAAGCAATTAGCTTTTTAGAAAATTTTGAAATTCATGGCCCCTGGGTTCAGCCTACAGGATGAAGCTAAGATATCATATATTGAGAATTCTTTACTTGTACACTGATATTTCCTTTAAAGAAACATGTTGTTCAATTGTCTATTTGATGAAATGGTTTAATCTTATTTGTGTAACTTTATCCTCTGTTAGCATTTTCAGAGAGTCTAAAATGTTACATGTACAAGGCATACTCTTTTCTGGGACCAAGGTTCAAAATGAACCTTACTACATTATTCTGAGTAAATTGTAATCTATGTTTGAGTTGCTTGTTTTTTTCCATATTACCAAAAAGAACAGGCATATTCAAAATAACATTGTATCAAAGCAGAACATGGGTCCTTCTAGACTGTGTACTAAGACAAGATGCATTTCTTTATAAAAATTCAAGTATGGCGTAAACTTTTTTGTATAGATTAATGCTTAATACAATGTTTTGACATGATAGAGACTTGATAGAGACTTATCAATACAGATTCCAAAGTATTTTTCTCTTTCAGAATCTCTTATAACATGACCTTTACATAATATTTTAAAATCTGTAATATGTTTAAGTTTTCTTGTTGGACTAAATAAAAAAGTTTCTGTCGTGCCTAAATGAAGTGCTAATCTGTTGTCAACTAACCATGAGGAACAGTTTACAAGAACACTGCCCAGTTGTACAATAATAAAAGGATCTCTGTGTGCATAAAAAGTAGCACTGTCATCAGCATCTATAACATTAGCTTACAGTCATCATCAACACTGACAGATATTACATAATTTTAAATATCTTTTCTGTTCAAGGGCATTTAGCAGACATACTGTATTATAATGATTATAATGAACACAACTGTTTACCAAAAATGTGAAATTCTTAGCCTCCTGGCCCATGGTTTTTGCCCCTGATGGGGATTACTTGACGATCTACAGAAATTGTTTAATTCAAGACCTACTGAGCCATGGCTCATGCCTCAGGGTGGGGCTAAGTTGGTCATATATATTATTATAATATTATACCATACATTTTTGAAATTCTTCCTCTTTAGACGTGGACATCCAGCAGGTTAACTGTTCGCACGATTACAATTAGTACAATGAGTACTGTAAGCTCCCCACGGATGGCCTTTCATAAATGGGAGTTACAAAATATAACATTATACTGTACACACACAAGTACGGTTGTACTTCAGTCTTGGTTAACTTCAGTATTGTAAACAGAACGAGAGTTTCTCAAAGGTAACAATAATAATTTATTTATAAGCACATTTCAGCAATAACAACATCAGGTATAAAACATGAGTTTGGTCGGTGGCGTCTACCGTACAGGGCTATGGTAAAAAGGGGGCGGGGCACCAAGGTGACCGTCAACTCAAATATTAAATAGTAATTGATAATAATGTTTTCAAATAATTAATAGGTGTCCAGTGTGTTGGGAGATAATTGTCTTAATTAATTCTCACCTAATACTGGTTGATGGAAAGCTGGAATTTGAATTTAGCGCTAAGGGAACTTAGACAAGATTATCTGCCATTATTGGCTGATCGACTCATATAATTATATATATATATATAGACTTTCTGAGATACCACGTGATAGGGCTTAACCAATGAAATAACTGTACGGTGACACTCGACCAATCGTGGCAATGTACGGCACCGCACAACATGAGATTTGCCGTACAGTGCCAAACAAGTTTGCCGTACACAAAGAATAAATAATTAAAAACAAGCTGTGATTTAACAAATACACATGGATAAAATTAATATGACTATGCTGGATGTTGTCCTAATCTGTAAGTAAATATTCAGTTCCTAAAAATATGTATAATTGTCATAAAAACATTGAATCATATAGCAGACGATGTCAACTAAGTACTTTCAAATACGAGTACAATGAAAAGCTATTAAATGTACAAATGACTGCCTGATTATAATAAATAGTTTGTAACAATTATTCTAGCAATAATTTGAGTTATTTCAAATAATAAACAATCAATAAAATCACAGAGATACAAAATGCGAAACTCTGGCTAGTATGTACGTCACATCAACAAAGATGGCAGCGGGTTGCATACAAGAGTATCCAGAACAAATAAATCGCGCTATTACAGTTCTTTAAGATTATAACATCCCCCCCCCCCCCAGTTCATGAATAATGACACGAAAACATGTAGTTTTAAAAGGTATGTGACCGAATTCATGAGATACAGAATTAAATTAGAAAATAGATTATTCACATATCAGCATGTGCTATTAATAGAATAAATACATAACATGTTTTTAAAAACAGAAACTGTCTTACAAACAATTGAAATAATGTTTCTGCAAAGATGCAATCATAAAATACACAATAGAATACAGTACAATGGCAGAGCTGAATGTTGTCAAAATTATATATATTACATTACATTAGGTCTTACAGTACCTATCCTTTTAGTAAAATTCATGGCTTCTGGATCTATGGTTGGGCTTAGTTAGCCATATATTAAAAGAAAAACATTGCATCTTCAAATCTGCATTACCCATGCAAATCTAGCAGGCAAATTCTTTGCATAATTATGAGGAGTAGCTAGCTATCTACAAAAAATTGTAAAAGTTTGTCCCTTCCCCGGGTCCAGGGTTCAGGCACCAAGCTAGGGCAAAATCAGCGTATATAAATTCATTACAATTTATATAGTGCAGCTTAACTTCTTTATTCCTGAAACTCTATGAGACAAGCTGCATGATTATAATAATGATGATAGAGTTTCACCACACTGTAAAATTAATGTCGCATGAGACCAGAGGGTTAGCTATCCATTATAATCACGTACACAGTTTTCCCGCTAGATTTCCATGGGTTTTTTCCTAGATATTCATGAGTAAAGGATGTGTTGTATTTTAGTTCCAGGTACATGTAGGGCTATAAGGATTTCATAGCCTGAGGAACGATCCCTTCATGCTTAGGTGACCGTCAAGGTCCATGGGCCTCTTATTAATATAAGTTCGTTGAATCCTTACTCTTTTTTTCAATAATACAATTATTTATTACAACATGCAATGAAAAACATGTCAACAGGATATTCAAACATTAACTGTTAAAATTTTACGCTTTTATAGTGCAAATTATATATGGTGAAGCTGTATTTACTATCTATGCCTCTTTTATTTATTTTAAGACTTTAATTACAGGTGTATTGACTCAACTTTCACTTTTTTATGGGTTAATCTATGACAGACTTTCGGAATTGTGTTCAATTGGAGTATTTCTAACTGCCGATTATAATAATTCTCCATTATCATAAACTATGTAAAATTTTATTACTTATTGTACATAATTAACTTACGGTAAGCACGTCATGTACTTCTGATAACTAATTGAAAAATTCAGACATGAATCCCAAAATGCTGATAACTTCTAGTATCCTGAAAAATAACCATTTATAATTAGTCTTATAGAAAAAGCTGGCTCTGAGGAGCATTTCATCTGTTCAACAATTGAGTTGTCTTTCTTGTTTTTTCTGGTACAAGTAGCATCATCGGTAATTTTAATAAGATTTTTATTAAAGATTTTGTTAACTTGAGAAAGGGAAACGTATAAAATATGATAATAAAATATAGAAAATTAATGAAAATTAAAGTAATTCATATTGAATATAAACCCTGAAAAATTAAACTCACTGAGAACAAGCAATCGTATGGATTATTTTATCAAGACAATTTTTAAACACCGATGAAATTATCTATACTTATAAATTAATAAATTTTGCAAATAAACTCCAAAACGGATGCACCAGAGATTTTACTTACTTCTGTAAGAATACACTGATACAATATGATGTCCGTAAACTATATTTAGATTTCACTCGCATTGTAAGTATCGTACATTAAATTAAAAGTCTACTTCTATTTTCTATAAACAGCCATGAAATAGCAAAAACGTGAGTAAGGTGGCGTTTCCGGTTGGCGGATCTAAGGTTCTTGCAATTTTCAATGAAACTGACAACAATCAATCGTTTATTTATTTCATAAAACGTCATCACTGAATTATTCAATCAAAACTTGATTTAAATGACATAAAAGAAATAAGTTGTGATAACCGATTAAAAAGGGAAATATGCAAATTATTTTTGTCATTCATCGATCTTAATATTGACTGAAGCTCCTAGAACATCATATACATGTAGCATCGAGCCCGATGTTAAAAAGAAAACGAGACTGTAGCTGTAGGAACATAAGAAAAGCTTATGTGTGAATGGTCATTGAAATAATGGTTAATCATTGATAACACTATAAGTTGTGAATATATTTATATATCGAAAGACTATTACATATATGTAGTAGGTTTTCCTAATAAATTTATCGTTAAAATGTGTATACATTCCTCACTGCTTACATGAAAAGAGAAAATTAATGAATAAGATATTGTTCAAATACAATTAAAGCCGTAAAATTTTGTGCTTTAATCAATACATTTCAGTTTTTTTGTTTGTTTGTTTGTTTGTTTTTTTGTTTTTTTTTTAATACAGTCTTTTGTATCAAATACTCGGCCTATTCATAGGGCGTTAAAAGCTAATTTTTGCACAGATACTTGCGTCTTGGTTTATGTATATGTATGAACCTTATTGATATGTAAAAAAGGTAAAGTACATTTTTTACATATCAATAAGGTACATATATATTTATAAACCAAGACACAAGTACCTGTGAATTTTTACCACCACCCCCCCCCCCCCCCGAAAAAAATCAATTTATCAGTAAAATGTGCATATTCGCTGCTTTTAATTTATCCTTGACGGAAATGAAATAAAAGCATACAATACATAACATAGTATAACAGGTTTCACAATAAACATTAATTAATGAAATTGTCATTTTTTTTTCAAGTTTTTACAAAAGGGGTGGGGGGGGGGACGCACATACGGGATTTTGAACAAAATGTTTCTTCCTGCTATAACCCTGTAGGCTGTCGGTGGAAACTACAATATATTTTCTGTCGGTAGTGGTATAATTTCAATTCCCCGCGCTTGCACGGGATTTCTTCTAATTCTATTAATGTTAAACACCCATCAGACGGTCTCCCACATTTCCTCATGATTAAAAAAGACTCTTAAAGATATGGTTATATTTATTGACTGATTTGACTAATTGTAGCCATTATGTTCCAGAGAAGATTTTTAAGGACTTTTTGCTTATAGTATACCAAATTTTCGCGAAACAGTAATGTTACATTTATTAGCGAGACAAAATTTTCACGAATTCTGGTTATTGTTGTACATAACGATTGAAATTTTGACGAGCAGACAGCATTGAGTAATTACTCGAAAATAAAGTTCTCATAAATATAACGTGATTTAATTATAAAGTATTCCAATGATAAACTTTAACCCCTTCTGTGGGTCTGTTCGTAGACCTGGGGGCCATGACTTAAAAAAAAACTTACAGTATATAAGAAAGCATTCATGTTAAGGACATACGCAACATAGTTTGAACTTCATTGTCTTTTTCCCTGAAGTTAAAGAGTTCCAATACTTAAGGAACTGTGTGCTGCAGTTTAATGTCTTTATGTGCTGTTGAACACTTCTTCTAAAACAAGTTTGGATAAACAAAACATCTAGAAAATATGTTTAGAATTTTTTGTATATTTTCCCTTGAAATATACAAGAATTTTCATCAATTGATATCTTTTCAAACCCCCTGGTAATGCATGCTGATTTCTTGTCTACGGACATCCGATGGCGCTATAATCTTAAATTAAGAATATCTTGAAAAATTATCAATAGGTAAGGTACGCTGCGTATGTCCTTAATTTTGTATTTTCTAGCCCAATGGGTTTGACAAGATTTTTCAAAAATAATTTTCCCTCCTACGTATTCCTTTTATTCACTTAATATTTGTATGTAAAACTTTTAATTTTTTTTCTTTCTTTTTTTTGTGACCAATCCTACAGCTAGCCATGATTTGAATAAACCCGAATCTTAACTCCTCAAGAAAGCTTTCATTCAAGTTAAGTCTCTTCTGGCCGAGCGGTTCTTGAGAAAAGAATTTTTAGGACACAGTTATTCTCACTATTTCGAAATTATCCCCCTTGAAAAGGGGATTGATCCTTCAATAGAAGTAAGAATAAATTTGAACCCACTTTACTCAGGCCCGTAGGAAGCAATTTCAGTTGGGGGGGGGGGGCACTATCAACCAAAAATTCCTTGACAAGCAAAAAAAAAAAAAAAAAAAAAGGTCATCAGACTTTTTTTTTGAGGGGGCACAAGGATATAGTAACTATGTTTTCTATAGTAATTTATATATCGGCAAAATTATTGGGGGGGGGGGGCACGGCCCCCCCGTGCCCCCCCCCCCACCGGTTCCTACGGCCATGTTACTCACATTTTTGAAATTTTAAACCTCTCCAGAACTACTGGGCCAGTTTCAACCAAACCTGTCACAAAGCATTCTTAGGTAGCGGGGATTCAAGTTTATCTATAAATAAAGATTAAGCTCTCTTTCATGGAAAATGATAAAGAAATAGTGAAATTTCAGTGAGATCTTCTCAAGAACCTGGTTATGATAACTTTGTCACTTGGGTAGGGTGCGGATCAAAGCTTTGCATGGAAATATATATTAAAGTGTTTTCCAAATCTTATCGAGATAGAAATTTATATGGTTAGTGATATTAAATGAAAGCATCCTCATTAACTGCAGATTCAGTTAAAGCTTATTTAAATCATGCACCCTATTGGTATAGGTATGTAACAACAATTAGGAGTGAGAATTTTAAAGAGAATGCTTAGGAAAATATTGACATCCTACATGAATTTTGCCTAAAAAGTGTGTGGAAAGCTACGTCATTCAAAACACCATAACAAGGATACAAGGATTTGTACCGTTTCATTAAACTTTCGAGATTGAATACTGTTCGTTATCTTTATATTTCATACGGAGATAAAAGATTAAAGTATAATTTTTATTTTGACGTTACAAACGTTTGTCTATTTTTATGACTCTTAGTCAACATTTTTAACATTGGCCATAACTTAACAAAATTTTTCTTGAAAAACATTGAGATAAAAATAAGTTCGGACACTGATGATCTTAATCATAATAAATTTGCTCGCTGTCTCATTGCAATGACATGTATTATATGTATTTGTATTTATTTCTGGTGTAAAAATCAGTAGTGTTGGCAGAATGACAATTAATGTGATAGTAAATTTATCTTTTAGGATAAGGAAAAAAAAGATGAAGATAACGAACAGTGATCGATCTAAAAAAAAATCTACAAACAATACAAATTTGTGAACCGTGAGCCCTATGTATTGATCCGGTAGACGGATCATTCCTTACTCAAATTTAGTATAAAAACAAAGGCCTAACAATTGGTACGTAACACGTCAGCCAAAATACGACCCAATGGTTGTATTTGCTAACAAGTTCATTATAAAAACTACAGAATTAAAGAAATGCTAACTTTAAACGAGGTTGTTAAAATCCCTGTAACATCAACTTATCTGTTAGTAGCCTGAATCGGTTTAAAAAATAATAATACATTGTACCCAGAGCATGCTCTTGAGTATCGAATAAGTTGGGAGACTTAAACACAATATGCAGTTTATAGCGGAATATTTCTTCAAAAATAAGGAAAGCAAAAATTGAAGTCATCTCGTACAATTTAGCTGTTAGTTGCCCTGTGTTGTGTATAGTCGGTAAAACATCCAAATATGAAACAGATGTGACTCTGTGGTGTCTTTTATTCCAAGTTTAGATAATTTGATAAAAAGAAAGGTGCGTTATTTCAAAACTCTGACAAGGTGCTTCAATGAGAATAACCATAAGTGAACAGTATACCTGGATAATAGTGTTAATGTGCTCGTTGCAATGCAATTTTAAAGAACTGTTATTTAACAACAAACGTAGGCGAAACTGAAAGAAATCAAAATAATTGACCGTTTGATGGATGACGGAATATCCTTTTAATTTTTTATAAGCATAATTTCAATTTTTGCACATCAAAATACTAGCATGGGTTAATAGATCACTTCCGATAAAATTCACATGTGGCGATCTTTTTGACCAGCGGTCCGTCAAATTAATCCATTGCCTTCTCGGTTTTCGAGCGAATACTCAAATAAAAAAGACATTTACTAAATGAAAAGGCAGGGTATTCATGAAAATACATTGATTTTGTAACAAATGGCTTAGAATGGTGAATTTTCTGTTTATAAAATTTTCTTCTGTTTTCCTTCCATTCAATTTATAAATTACAATATTATACTGAATGTTTTATACTGTACATTTTTTTCACTTTTACAAAGTTACTCATGTATTTTGGGAAAATTATTCAAATAATGAGAACATATGCACTACATTTTCACAAAAATAGCATCAGTGACCCTTTTTCTTTTATGAATTATTGAACCAGAATTCCCCCTTGGTTTCTAAGCAAATAAACCAACAACACGAAATCTGCATTATTTCGTTCCTTTATCAAATCGTCTTTCTCATAAACTGTCCAAATCGATTTTCACCATTAGACCGAGATATTGGGTCGATGTACTGTTTGATTGGGATTCTTCGTCACTTTTCAGGACTGGGCCGGAGACTGTATATACCATCGGGAATGCAATTTCTCACTTGAGTCAATCTTCTAAAGAAATCATTTGGTACTATCTTATACTTATTCCCACGGTACCACTATAAATGCATGCAAATGCACTTATTACATCGCAAACCATTATCTTATTTGATTGTGGCAGTTATTTTATTTGTTTTAGTACAGATGTACTTATTCTTTCACAAGCATTTTCGATGTACATATATAGGGAAAGAGAACATTAATTAAAACTCCAGGCAAATATGATAAAGTATGCTTAGCAAAAGTAAGCAAAGATCACATAATTAATAAGAACATAATATTGATTATGTTTAAAGTCACTACAGGCACGTGTATACCATGTGAAGAATTATCAATATTACACAAGTCTGTCGTACAACACGAAAAACAACGTTCTGTATCAATGTCGTCACCCCAGATACCACAATGAGGCGAACAGGAAGTTGCGCATCGTCTGATGAGGACGTCAAATTTTCCGAATGTTTCATTTCGTTGAACCTGTCGTAAAAAAAACAATGTACTAGTATTTTAAAACCAATTATTTTCCCTTATTTTAAGCCCCATGCAATTATTTTCCTTTGTCATGTAACACATTATCTTTTCCTAAAAAACATAAACATTGTACCTGTGCATCAAGTGTCTGCCAAATGTGCTATTGTATATGTGCAGATATCATGTAGAAAAAATGTGAAACATCATATATGAAATACACTGAAAATGTGAAAATTGTATGAAATACACTGAACTACTGTGAAAGTAAAAAAAAGGGGAAGCCTTAGATTCTTTAGATTTCCATCACTTAATTTTGTTAAAAAAGAAATATTTATACCATTTTCAAGAAGGGACCAATCAGTAATCAGTTAAGTGAATCGACGAGTTGTATTATCTTTAGCTGGACTTTTCTCTAGATTCGTACAATGAAAACTCATATGAAATCTAAAAGAAAGATTATACATCATTCGTGACTTTGTTTGTGTGTACAATTTATGCCTTGTCGTTCTGTTCAAATTCATGGTAAGGCTAATGGAAATTTCAATATATAACGCAATTACATCAATCATCTCTGCTACATATCTACAGGCAAAGCGGAAATTAATCCGCACTAATCAATTATCTATCTTTTCCAGATCACGTCAACAAAGTTGGAAGTCGTTATAATGCAGCGTCTTCGGAGTACCATTGGGAATTCCGTTCTTGTTATTAGAAATCTAAATCTCATAAGTACTAGTGAATACGATTAATTTTATGATTTGAAAAAGACATTGCAGTGAGAAACGTGCGTTTCTCGAATTTAAAGCAATATCAGAAACTTAAATGCTAATTACTGAGTCCTCTATTATTTTTCTTAAGATATATCTACATGAATTACATACAATTTTTTTTTTAATTTTATATTAGAAATTAATCTTATAAGATATAGTTACTATATATGTAATACTGAATGTATTTTATTTGGATCAAGAAAGAAGCTTTCAAGTGTCCAAGATTTTCACATTGAGTGTAATGGACATACAATACATTCTATGGAAAAAGTTAAATATTTAGGAGTTTTTGTTGATCAATTTCTGAGTGGTGAATTTATTGTTGAGTCCATTGTACAAAAAGTCAACAACAGGTTGCGTTTTTTATACAGACAAGCTCGTTTTTTGGATATAAGAAGTAAAATGTTATTATGTTCTGCTCTTATACAATGTCATTTAGATTATGCTTGCTGTGCATGGTATGCAGGTTTGTCAAAGAGTTTGAAAAAGAAATTACAAGTATGTCAAAACAAAATGGTAAGATTTATTCTGAATTTAACTCCTTTACATTCCATAAACTACAAAGTGCTTAGTACATTGAATTATTTAAATATAGAAGACCGGGTACGACAACTCAGATTAAACCATGTGTATAACATATATCATGGTTGTGCGCCATCCTATCTAAGCGAAAATTTTACTTTAAGGTCAGCCGTGTCTTCACGTAACACTAGAGCATCCACTAATGAAGATTTTTTTATTCCTCATGTGAAAGCATGTCAAGCGGATACTTTTTACTATAATGGCATTAAGGACTGGAATTTTTTAAGAGCTTCTATTAAATGTACTAAAGGAAAGAGTACTTTTAAGAAACAAGTTAAGAGTTTTATCTTACAAAACGGCATTTTAGAACATGAAAGTGATATGTTTTAGCATTAACTTATAAAACATATTTTATTATTTTATTGATCCTATATGTTGTCATACTTAAATTAAATTTAACGTGTAAGCAACGCAGTGCTAAAATTATAGTGCCAAAAATTGTTATATTGCTTTAATGATGAAACATTGTATTTTTATCTTATTTAGGGTAGGACCCCATTGGAAATAAGCTCTCCAGCTTTAATGGGTTATCCTGGTATCAACTAGTCACTATCTAAAATATGGTTTCCTGAATATCTATTTATAAATCTATTTAAAATTTATGGATTCTCAAATATTGTCTTTCAAATGACTATGTACATTTATGTGTATTTGTTTTATGTATGATGACATATGATACCAAATAAATGATGATGTAGATTTCGATAAATAACTTGAAAGTCTACACATTGTATTAATTCAACTGGTAAAGTAATCTTGGATGTTTAAAACAGTTTACTATTCAACACTAAGAATTAAAATAACAATGATCCCCTTTTCTTACCAAGCAAAAGCTTTGGTTAGAATCACATGTGACTACCCTGGTCGTGTTTGGTTCTAATACGCATGCGCCGTATTCCCATGTCGTTGTGCAGTTGTAACACTGCAGTCCAAAGCTTGGAACCAAATGCATAACTGAAAAGACACATTTATAAATAAGAGCATTATGTTAAGAACATTATATATATATATATATATATATATATATATATATATATATATATATATATATATATATATATATATATATGTATACGTATATGTATATATTAAATACTAAACTTCTTAAGCTTTATCTAACTCATATGTCACCTACACGCGTCTCAAAAAGGTAGAAATTTTGTCGATACTGTAGTTGACATCTTATTTTGATTCAATGTTCGGATCCCATTTTCCATTTCTTCTTCTGATTCAATGTTCAAAGTAATCGATAAATTCTCGTGATAGTTAAATTTAAAAGCTTTGATCATATGCCGTTTTCTTCCCAATTCGTCATTCAAAAACTATGCCTTTGCAAGACTATAGGACAAATATGTATGATGAACTGTTAGAGTCACTGTCTCCTTTCTGTTAAGCGACGGAGATGCGTGGGGTCTTGCACTCCATTTTGTTTAAGTTTTGTTTTCTTTTTTTCTTTCTTTGTTTTTTTTTTTTTTTTTTGGTTTTTTTTTTTTTTTTGTATTTTTCTATGTTGCTTCCTCGGATGTTTTTCCTGGGCTTCATTGCCCTCATACTCTTGTCTTGTTGTTGTAACAATCTTGCCTTTTCGATTGCTTGAACATGTTAATAAACCTTACTACAGAATTTGGGTATGGTCTTGTCCTAAGGAGGCAATATTTACATTTGTTTCTTTTTTTTGGAAAGCCCCTTCTAAGCCAATCGGATATTGTGATACTATTTCAAAGAATGTAAAAACAATTCATTTTATGACCATTTGGGGAAGATTGAACATTAATAAATCTCTGTCAATTAGATAAAGTCGCAGCAAAGTAATCCCACATAATTTCTCAACATTTGTACCGATTAAATCTGCCTCAAACGAGCAGCAGAAGACAGAAATTTCCGATTAATGCATTAAATTGTGGTTGCCTGTGGCTTGCATTACGAACAATTGAGCAACATGTGAAAATTGTATTTCCAATATTTTTAGATAAAATGAATGTCTGTGCAGATGTTGTATATTGTCTGATCAATATTTTCCAAAAGAGCACGGGAAGGCGCTTCAACTTTGATATTTTCTAATATATCCATAACCTTATGAGAAAGTCTATTTTGTTGTAATTTGCGACGTTTTGTGATTAATTGCAAATTCTTTGATCACCGATTCCTTTGATAAGCCAATTTGTAAACTGGACTTTCAAAGAATTTTATCAGCAAGTCTTTCATCAATATTTAATGCACTAGAAAATAGACAACAGCGTGTAACTTTAGAATCTGTTGGTTTTATAATAACGGGACATGCTGCTTAAACGGAATAACCGTTGGGGAGGGAGGGGGGTTACAATAGTGTAATAGATCAATCATTTCTTAGCATCGGAGTCTCTACTTCTTTCTGACGTGTACCAAATATAATCAAATAGGTCTCCTATCAAACCAACATACACAAAAATCAGCATAAATTATCTTTTACTTTAAAGAAATGGGGTTCTAGGTCTATTTTTTGTTCTTTGTGTATTTTTTCTTTGGGATACTTGGACTACTTTATGTATGTACATATGCATTTAAAATGGGCATAAATTTTCCCCCCTAAAATATTCATTTTGTTGTAAAAACCATGGCGTTTTTAATTTATTTATTTTGTTTGTTTGCCTGTTTAACAAAAGAAAGAAAATACACATGTCGAAAGAACAAGGAATTCATTTTATATAGGATAAGAATATATTTGCCTGTCCAAAATCAACATAAAATGTACCACTGTGCTATATAAAAAATGTTGAATATTTTTTAAAAACATACTTACGCATTATTAAAGCACATAGAAAAACTCCGAAGTAAAACCCGGAACACAAAATCATGTTAAAGAAAATCCATCATCTTAGCACGGGTTAGGCAGAGGAAGGAAGGCTTATCGCCATTGACCAAGGCTTTCGTGAGGCCATTAGTAAAAGATCATCGTATCACCGTCACCTGTTAATCGATTTGCGAGCTTCTCTGTAGATATTTACTTACACCATCGAGTCCAGTCTCATAGTGAAAAATTCTAAAAGTGAAAGAACCAGTAACGAAGGCGAGAAAATGGTGTTAGAATTTATTGATCTTCAGAAGGTAGCCGGAAGCTAAGCAATGAACATCGACTTTTTTCTCTTGATTTCGGATAGAGAATGTTTTCTACATTATTGCCGAAAGTATAAGAAATGCAAAGGTGTTCATTTGTTTAAGATGAGAAATGATGGAACAATTGCTTATTATACAGAGTTTATATTAAGATGACAGAGAACGACATAATTTCTCTCATGGATGCAACTTGTAGTTATAATCGTCGAAGCGACAACAGTATAAGATATTGACAATAATTGAATAGCTGTTCCTTTTATTGGAAAGAAATTCAAGCAAATAAATGTATTTTATTACATTTTCAATTTTTTTGCTTCGCACTGGTGAAAAAAAAATCATGTCCCACTCGTGAAATAAATTATTCAATATCCAACAACAAAACTTTGAATATCCTCTATTTATATGAATTCAAGAATTTTTTGTTTCGAAAACCTATGTTTTTATTCTCATCAATAGGTCTTTTACAAGTTAAGTACAACTAAAGGCTTCTTAGCGGTATTTATTATTATAATATTGACTTCTAATTTATAAATTAAAGATACGCTTATACTACTATACGTCATTTGTCTTATATGAAAGCTTTAGCAATCTTGTCCTTTGATGCAAGCAAAACATCGTTTAATGGTTCATGCAGCAATGCACATTTCCTGTTGCAGTATACATCAGTGATTCTCTGGATTCTCTGCTTCCTGTCATGTATAAGGCCATGGTACGTACAACTTTTGAAGCAAAGTATATTTTTGATCATAACTAACACAGTAATAGAAACCTGTTAATTAGCGTCACAATCAGCACGACAATTAAATCCCAATGATGAATGTTCCGCTTTACTTTAGTGTAATTCGTACAGACATCACGTAGTAAGAGTTACTAGCACCATGCTAGTTTACACAGTACAGTTCAAATCTTTCTGTCCGCACCGTTTCTCATTTTTGCTATGAAGAAATATATATTTCTATTGCAGGCCGTAGCTTGGAAGGGGGGGGGGGGCATGCAATCTCCTAAAAAATCTGACAAGCAAACAAAAAAAACCTATACTGTCCAAAAAGTGTTGGTGGGGGGGATCCCAAAATAATCTGTCAGTAAAAAAAACTTAACTGTCCAAATCCTAGAATTTGCCAATGCTCGACCTTACAGCAACAAAAAGTGGGGGGGGGGGGGGGGCACGCATCTAAATGAAAATTTACTATAGCAAAATACTATACCCCTGCCCCCCATCCCCTGCGTTCTTTGGGCCCGTACTGTACATTATGTTGTCTTTCTGTGACTTTTTATGCCCCCGATTCGAAGATTCGGGGGTATATAGTTTTTGCTCTGTCTGTTTGTCCGCAAAAACTTTAACCTTGCCCATAACTTTTGATTGGTTGGAGTTATGGCTTTCATATTTCACATGTGTATTCCTTGTTACAAGACCGTTCTTTGGGTACCATCATATTTGACCTTTTGACCTTGGAATTTGACCCAGTTTTGCAAAATTTTACCGAACTTAAACCTTAGCCATAACTTTTGAACAATTGGTGCTAGGGTTTTCATACTTCACATGTGTAATTCTTGTGACAAGACCTTCCTTTGAATACCAACAACTTTGAACTCTTGACCTTGATCTAGGAGTTTGATCTACTTTTGGAAAACTTTATCCTTGGTCATAACTTTTGAACGATTGGTGCTTCGGATTTCATATTTCACCTGTGTATTTCTTGGGAGAAGGCCTTTCCTTGGGCACCATTAATTTTGACCATTTGACTTTGATGTTTAACATACTTTTGAATTTTTTTTTTTTTGGTTAACCTTTTCCATATCTACCGGTATTCGATGGTTGCTGCTAGGGCTTTCATGTTTCACAGGCATATTCCTCGAGACAAGACCTTACTAAATGGGTACCAACATATTTGGTTTGCATTTGAGAAAGTTTAACCTTTGCTATAAGTTGACATGCGGGGGAATCAGTGTTTCACAAACACATCTTGTTTCTAAAGCAATGCAATTCATTAAGAGGCCCAAATTAATGAAAACTTTCTAAGAAATATTTGAAATTATGAAAATTTTAACAACAAAACCTTTTTTATGCCCCCGTAATCGAACTCTGACAGTTTGACCTTGGAGTTTGACCTACTTTTGAAAATCTTCCACCTTGGCCATAGCTTTTGAACAGTTGGTGATTGGTCTTTCATTCTTCACATGTGTATTCCTTGTGACAAGACCTTCCTTTGGATACCAACAATTTTGGCCCATTGACCTTGACCTTGGAGTTTGACCTTCTTTAAAAAAAGCTTTAACCTTAACCATATTTTTTTGAACTTTTGGTTCTAGGGCTTTCATATTTCACTTACATGGATATCACTTGTGAAAAGACCTTCCCTTGGGCACCTTTTGACCTTGACCTTTACGTTGTCCTGAATTTTGCAAAACATAACTTATCAACGGTTGGTGTTAGAGCTTTCATATTTCAAAAGTATATTCCTCAAGACAAGACCTTTCTTTGTGTACCAACATTTTTGATCTTTTGACCTGGAGTTTGACTTGCATGTGAGAAACTTTAACCTTCGCCATAAGCTGTCATACGGAAGGGGAGGGGGCATCAGTGTTTCACAAACACATCTTGTTTAATTATTAAATACATTAGACGAGTTCATTTACATATGTTCTAATCAATAATTTGGGTTTTAATTTTCGTTGTTCTGCGATATCAATTGAATAGACCCATGCACACATTACTATCCATCTTGAAATGTGCAATATCATGTCTATTGTTTGATAATAATATCAAATTTGCTCGAACAAATTTTTGTTTTTCCTCATACTACGAAGATATGACCTCACCAAAAATAATTTTACAGTAATTTTTTATCCAGCTTAAAAATAAGGAAGATATAGTTAAACGTAAATGCCTAACATAAATACATTTATTTAAGATGTTCTGTGAAGCTCAAACTCGGTAAATGTTGAATAACCTTTTTTGTCTTCGGAAAGGTCTTCATAAGCGAGGTTTGAATTAATTAATGGCATTTTGCAAATTCGGAACGTACATGTAGTTCCTAAGTTGTTGTCAAGGCTAAACTTTTATTCGAAATGTACATAATTAATCCGCTCAACAATTCCGCAAACAAGTGATGGCTTTTTCATTGAAATTAGTTGCAATGGCGGATTGATGACAATAACAGACTCATTGTTATCAGGATGTTCCCCGTTATAGTCATTGATGATCATGTTCGACATACAATGGTCTTTTTATCCAGACTTCCGTACTCCATTCTTTTCAAGGTGTACAAATTGATATGACGAGTATGAAATGGCGATGGCGAGTATGAAAGACACTTTATCAAACAGACAATATCTCATAGATTTTTATTTGAAAGGAGATCACTGTACATTTTCTTTCTGTTTGACTCCACCATCCTCGACGTGTAGGAGGAGTTGTGTGACAGGTATAGACCCTTTTCCTATGACATATTTTGCCTAGGAGTTATTTCCCTTAGCCGCCATATTGTAGGGCAACATTCCCAGATCCCTTCATTATTCAACCAAGTTCAATTTCTTATACTGGTTACTGAGGTAAAGATAACACTATTTTTCTTATGAATACACATTTGTTATATCCTCTATTAATTCATGATAATAAGATTGTTAATATTTTCCCCCATATTTTTCTTGAATGCATGTTTAAAATTGGTTGCTCAAAGAGGTAAATTCACTGCTTTGCCATACAAGATGGCGGCTAAGGGGAATAACTCCTAAGCAAAATGTGTCATAGGAAAAGGGTCTATAATATAAGATGAAGAAAAAGAATGTAGTGTCCAATCAATTTGTGATATTCTGATGCGTTTGAATAAAAATCCTGACCTGAGGAAGGAGTGACTCGTATTTCCTCATAAATTAATTTAAGGTCCATCCGAATTAAAACAAGATAAAAATATTCTACTTATATTTTATTGAATATCATTGAAAATAAATATTGCACTTTTTTTTGGCGTCTATTGCACCAAGTAAACACAGAACACGGATTTCCTTTCACAAAGCGAAATAACTGAGAAAGGGTTTTCCATTTTCTTAGATGTAAATTTCAGACCTCATATCTATATAACCCTTGTGAACAGCTACATTGGATATCGTACAGTATTCATTTAATTTCCCATCAAAGTCATTCAATACCCGCTCTACATCGTCCTCGATCCTGAGAGTTCCGCAGACGGAATAATCCGGAAGTGGTTCCGGCGGAGGACTCGGCTTCCGTAGTACACTGTGGTAGTTGTCATTTTGTAAGACATGGCCAGTGAAGGCAAAAGTTCTGCTGGTGGAAGATCTGAGATACTGACCCTCCGATCCAACAAATGCACTGTCTTCACTTGCAGTATCATAGTCAAATATACTATCATCCTCTTCTTTTGGTGGATCTAAGTTTTTTATTCTTGCGACAGATTCTTCTCGTAAAACGTCTGTACACGCGGAAGGATGCGGACTGTTCACAACCCAGTCTTCTATGCTCTGATCACTCAAAGTAACTATTTCCTTATCAGCAATATCACAATTTTCAAAAGTAAAGACCTTTTCATGCTGTTCCACTTTGTCGTCTAGTTGGGCATAGCCCGGTGAAAGAACGTTGTTTGCAGGAGGAGTGGTAGAATTGTGAGAGACAAATTCAGGAGAAGTGGTCGATTCTGGAGACCGAGCTTCCTCCATTTCAACATTTACAACCGGTGGTTTGATATAGTTTGTCTTCGATAGAATGATTCCTTTCCGCCATCTTTGTCTACTCAACTTTTTATCAGCTTTCTGTAATATAAATGATTATGTGAAATATATATATATTTTTTTCTAAATTCTTAAACATACTGAGTATTCGTTAAAACCTTATTTTTTAATTATGAATTAATTTGACAAATAACGTCCCTACCTTGTATGATTCTGCAAAATTGTGTATAACATTAAAGAACTCCTGAGAGTCTAACTCGGTGGAATTCTCTCCAAACATGGTACACACTGAACAATATGCTGTTTCCATTTCTTTAAACTCTCTCTGAATTTTGCTACACATAGGTGAAATCTCTCTCTGGAAGAGCTTGGGATAAGTTAAAGATATTTTTGACTCGGTCATATACAGTGAAAGCTTACTTTGAATGATAAAAAAATTGATACCATTAAATCCACCAGTACATGATTGGTATTAACAATTATAATGTAACGTATATGATATACATGCATTAAATTAAACCAAGAAGGATACAATCAGACGTTGACAAGAGGTTTCGTTGATTTCTTGCTGTAAAATGGTCATACCAGTATTCATCTCTTTAACAGATGATACCAATGATTGAAATGATGCTAAAAAAAGAAACAAATTAGTCAGGATGGCAACAGAATGCTCAATTTCTAATTGATTTATCACACATTCCCTACATGTAGTTGTACCATAATCCCATTTCAGTTTTAATCTGCCAGACAATCTCATTTTTCAGTCATATATACCAGTACTTGTGCGTTTATGCATCTTAAAAAATTATTTCATCGGGGAAATGGGAAAAAAGCAAATACGGTCCAGAATTTCTAAACCAGAGGAGTTAAATATTAAACAAATTTAACTAATTTAAGTTCTATCTTTGTGTCAACAGAACTAGCATTGGTTATGACAGTACTTAACTTTCTGGAAGACAGAATTTTAAATAACTTACTATGAATGGATCTGAAGAAAAAAACCAGGACCTGTTTTTTCTGTTTATATTCCAATGCTCTGGGCATTCAATTTAAAAAAAAAAGAAAGATATTTTTTGTTTTAAAAATCATAAAATCACGGTAACATTACCTGAATTGGTGTGATGAATGTCAAGGTCACTATACCAATCGTGGGAGTCATGATAGTGACGTACAACAATCTCTGCGATATACTCCAGCAATGTCAAGGACCTATCTCCAGACCGAATTTGCTCTAACTGAACGAAAGAGATGATACCTGTTATCAGTGCAAACTTTAACATGTTTCTCAAATATTTAACAACACCTGTCAGATGACGTGAAGTAAAGAAAGAATTAGGTCTCAACATAATTGTTTCATAAAATAATATATGAACTTCTGATTTTTTGTTTCCTTTCCTCTTGTAAAATTTATTTTAGAGCCTAAATCTTAATGATTCAATATTACAAAGGGGTAACGTTAAATGAATAATAGCTCTGAAATCATGAACACCAAAAAAAAAGAGAAGTTTTTCAAGTATTTTAAATGGTTGAATGAAGAAAACGACTTGCGACAGAGAACTTACCAGCGGTAAAGATGCCACCCTGAATCCAATGGCTTGTTTTCTGTTTCCGTTAATGAAATTCCCAACCGCCAAAATAATCTTTTTTAAAAAAGGACAAATATAATTAAGGTTTTGTTTATTCATTTATTTTCATTATTAGTCATAATTATATATTGTAGGTTTACCTCGAAAATTTTCTTCAATTTCGTACATCGAAGCAATCTTGTGGAGATGTTCATTAAATCTGCGATTGGCTGAAAAATGTAATCAAATATTGAATTAGATAAACATCTGCAGTTATAAATATTAACTTGCTTCATGTGTATCAGTTATAAGTAGCAGTGATTGATATATGTACAATTCCATCCTCAATAATCAGTACATTTCTTTCCAGCAGAAACGTGTGTCTTTCATTTGGTTGACGTGGATACGTCTTATTAATAGAAATATTTTCCCTCCATAATTAGGTTTCTTACCAGGAAAGGGTTTTTATGTATATTTTGTGCCAGAATTGTTGTCTACCACTAAATATTTGATTATTCTCTGCAGTTAGAGACAAGTGCCAATATCTTACTGAGAGAAGTGTTTCCGCCACGCGAGGAAAACTGTCCATAAAAATCATAAGACGAAGCCGTTCCTCAAGTCTAGCAATCGCCATTAACTAAAAAATAATAGACTAACATTTAGAATTTCTCAGCTCTTCATATTTTCATTTTAGTCTAGAGTTTCTGAAAACTTGTAAGCAATTCAAACAGATGGAATTTATGATAAGTTAATGTGTTATGTCTTTTAGATTAGAATTATCAATTTTATAATAAAGTACCATGGTTCGAATTTTCCCGACGAAAATTCAGATTTGTTTTCAGAATGGAAACTTACTTGAACCAACATTTGTTCTGCTTCATCCAGATCTTCCAGTTCAAACTCCAGCTCCATGATAGTCCTCATCTGCAATTTATGCCAATATTCTCAAGTAAAAAAATTATATCCTATAAACATGTAGTACAATAGTATAGTTTGGTCTTTGTCTCATAAAGATGCAAACCTCGTTCTCAGTTGGAATGAACTTCAGGAGTAATTCGGCATTGTCTGCTGAGAGAGAGTCTGTATCATACTCTTCAATGAATCCTTTTATCTCGACTGGAGATCGTCCGATTCTTTTCTGCAAAATGGCTGTTAAAAACAAAAGCAATGCCTTACATTGTATTTACCTTATACTAGTGATGAATACTAGTATATTTTAGGAATGACTCTAATTCTTGGCCAAATTATTCGAGTATAACCTGGTTTGGGTCAGTTTACGCTTTATAATCCGTGAAGCGGATTATAAAACAGCGTAAATTGACCCAAACCAGGTTATACTCGATCTAATTCTTGGCCAAATTATTCGAGTATAACCTGGTTTGGGTCAGTTTATGCTTTATAATCCGCGAAGCGGATTATAAAACAGCGTAAACTGACCCAAACCAGGTTATACTCGAATAATTTGGCCAAGAATTAGAGTCATTCCTTATAATTTAATTTTAAAATCATTAAATAACTATGGGTGTAAAATTTTGTTGCTTTTTATTAGTTCAAATTTGCCGCTCAATAATACAACCGTAGTAACGGAAGTGATGGGAAGCAAGGGGAGGTAAAAACTAATACATACGCTTAGCAGCCTTGTTGTTTGTTTACATGTGGTAAGATCGAATTATTGTTCGAAGTTAAAGGTACATTTATTAAATCTGGAATTTTCCATGAATCCCGAGGACTGGAAATGAGAGGATTGTATGGATACAGATGATTCAGCTGGTTGTCGGGGGGGGGGGGGGGGGGGGGTTCCCATACCAAACCAGGTTATACAGAAATAATTTGTGTTCCTTTTTGGATATTAACCAATCAGAGGCTAGAATACAAACAAAATTAAATTATATAGTTTTATTATACCTCTGCTCTTATTACTCTAAATAAAATTAATACCATAAAACTGTCTACATATATCTTCCCCGAGAAGATAGTATTTCCCCCATCTGAGGACTACTCCCTGAAAAATCAGAGCTACTCCCCGGGACTACTCCCTCATGAATACTTATTATTAATTTTAACCAATTAAAATGAACAGTGGGCGGAGCATTTAAGGAATCTCGAGTCCGTGACGTAATGTTATTAGCAATGTAACTATGACGTCAAAACATTTCGACATGCGATGTCAAAATCATATACTGGAATTTCTAAGCAAAAAGAGGACAGCGATAATCCTTCGAAATGTCAGTGAAATTATTATTTTTAAATAATGTTATTTTTTTTTCATATTGATGCATTATATATTTAACAAAATTGGAATCACAGGCATTTTTGATTATTTATATGAATGCCTCTATATTGTTTTAAAAATGTCTAAGTCTCTAGTTAATAAATCTCCTTTGTTTGTTTCGGTATAATAAAACAGTTATGGAATGGGTACTCGGGAAATATCAAATTTATGGTTCCCCTCGGCAGGAAACTATTTCCCTCGGGGAACCATAAATTTGCTATTTCCCTCATACCCATTCCATAACTGTATAATATGTATTGTTGCCATTAATTACGCAATACACACTTTCCGTCTTAGGAATACTGGTTAATTGAAATATGAAAAATATGAATATTTTCAATCCTGAAATAAACTCTTCTGGTGGCTTTTCTAAGTACTTACAAAGGTTCTTGGCTCTTGAAGATTCCATAAAATGAATTTTTGAAATTCCTCCCTTGAGAGCTGGAAATTTGAATGGAAAGACAAATAAAGGCAGAGCATAACAATTATCTGAATATCTGTTAAATATCACTTTTATAAATGGTAAGATAAGTTTTCATGTCCTTACGCTTAGGATAGTCTTGTTTTTGTTCCTGTCCAATCTTAAAGCTCTCCACTAGTTCAAACAATTCGATCTCTTCCAGCACTCTTTCATAATTAAGACTCTAAAATTAGAGAACTTGAAATCAGCCTATCACAGAAATGTATATATCTTTATCAAAATATTGAGCCGTGGGGAAATAATTCAATACCTTGAACATGGTGTTTTCCACATCACCTATAACAGCCCAATTCAAGTACGGCATTTTTGCTCTTGAAGAAAAGGGAATCTTTTCGTCTTTAGATTCATTGCACTCCCCTGAATATGAAATATTTTCATTAGTTAATATGGTAATTAATTTTATTAAAAATAAATTTCTAAATAAAAAACAAAATTAAATATATTTTTAGAAAATCAAGATTTATCTTTGATTTTTATATTTTTAATGACTTTTTTAAAAAAAATATGTAATATGTGGGGTTTTTTTTTCATGCAAGCTAGATTCCCAAAATGCTTGTACATCAGTGAATTTTCTACCTCTATTTGATTTACCATTTTCTTGTTGAATTTTATCATTGCTTTTCATGGCTTTCAGTTCTTGTAGGCATGATGAAAGTGTCTGCAATGCCGAGTTCTGATCATGAACACTTTGTAAATGAACATCGACATTAACAGTTACTGAAGGGTTATTATGGAGATATTTTTCAGCCTGCGCAGGCTCAGTGGCAATATGTTGAGATCGAGGCTGGTGATAGAGAGGTGGTGGTGGCGGTGGAGGCGGTGGTGGAGCAGGCTTTGTTTTCGTTGATAGCAGCTTGTCTGTCTGTTAACAATGAAGTGAAATTATTAGTTTTATATAAGCAAATAAAAAATAAGTATCACCCCTCGTAAGTATGAAAAAATCAAAACATATATAGTAAAATTAAAATTATTTCTTTTTTTATCAAAAACGTTAACAGTGATTGTCCGATAATATAATACAGTCATGCCTATTACCTTTATCTGATTTCTCAGTGTTGAAATCTAAAACAAAACGAAAACAAAAATAGAGAAACAGATTATGAAAACTATGTCTTATAATTGATTTCGTCTCTATAAAGTAAAATAAATATGTTGAAAGACCTTTTCATGCAGTGTCCTATTTGTTTCAATAACCGTGTCAACATCAATTTTGCTGTTTTGAAAGTCCATTATTTCTCTAACAAGATCATCTTTCTCCTGAGCTTTGCTGTCCTCAGTCATCTGGGAAGAAAGGAAAAAATAAAATATCCATTTCCAAGTTTGTGCTCTCTCAACTGTTTAACCGCATCAATTGGTATGAAATCATGTGCAGAGGACTTTTGTAGTTTGGGGGAAAGGAAAGGGGGTTAATTTCTATCACCATACAGTTTACTACTCTTTAACATTGACAAAAATATATAAATAATGTTCAAGGTATTCTCAGTAATATGATTAATATACACGTTGATCTTGTTATTAGAATACCTACCAGTATGAGAAGCTTTGGATCCACCCCAGCCATTTCTAACTCAGTCTGCAGGAAAACTTTGATATTTGAATTAGGAGCAAAGGTGATCAAAGAATTCAAAAATCTCATGCAGCACACCTGTAAAAGTAAAGAATGAAAATTAAATTCTCAAGCGTTTCGTTTTAAAAATCTTTTATCAATTAAGATCTAAATACACATGAACTATGACCATAGATCGCATTCTGTCGAATTGTACGAGGCTTTATAAATGACAGCCACATGGAGTTTGATAAAGATCAAGATATGAATCTGAGTTCTCAGTGAACTGTGATTAAATTACTTTTTACATAATTTCAAAATTTTGTCATATGAATGCACTGAATTTAAATTGTAACATCAACCATACATTTGATATTTGCCTTGATTTTCTATAGTTTAATAGTAATAGCTGGTTAAGTCGTGTCTTATTTGCTCAAGCGATCGTGACTTTCGAGTTAATTAATTTGATACATGTATTCACGTGGTATGTTAACGTCAAAAATACACACAATATTGTATAAAGAAAATATCATTTTTCATGTAAGATTATTTAAAAATTCAATTCACTACTATGTACGTGTACTTGTTTTTAAATGAATGGAATATGGAGAAAACAAACAGTATTCAAGCTCAAAAGTCCATTGAAACAATACAAATCGGGAGCAGAGCAAACACGGACCTTTAAAAGCATCAGTGGTGGGATCAAGTGCCATGGAGGAGTAAGCATCCCCTGCCGACCGGTCACACCCGCCGTGTGCTACTTGTCATCATCGGGCAAACGGGAAAATCCGTACACAATTCAGTGTGTAAAAAATGGCCTAACAATTAGTATGAAAAACGTCAGTCAGCATTTGACTTAATGATAGATTGTATTTGCTGACAAGGTCATTTTATCGTCCATAGAACTCGCAAAATATTGACTTCAAACGCGACTTGGTATGATCCTTGTTTCATCAACTTGTTTATCGATAGCTTGCCTCGTTTTAGAAATTGTTCCTACGTTGAACATGCTCTTGCGTATCGAATCAGCTGGAAGACATAAATTCCATATGCAGGAGATAAGGGTATATTGCTACATAAATAAAGGAAGTTGAAGATGGAAAAGTTTAAGTTAATATCACATTCAACATTAAATTTTGTTGTTACGTTATAAGCGTCTTTTTCGAGTAAACCATCCAAATATGAAACAGGTGTATCAGACTCTAATGTATATTTTGCTTCAAGTTCAATGGGATATATCGAGTCAACATATGAATGGAAGTAACTATGGAAGTCTATTATATATGACAGAGAAAATTACAGGATTTTCTAGCAATATAATTTATTTACTCCATTTAGCATCTTAACAACATCTTAAACATATTTTAAAACAAGTCTTCGTGCAAATGACGTCAGAGACAAGGGCGAACGATAATCGCTTTAATTTTGAAATCTATGCATATCGTTAGATTCTAATTTCAGACCTTAAAAAGTGCACTGTCATCCATCTGTTATATTCATCAAAGTATGTCCTATCAATTATTACTAATGAAAAAAGTGAAGATAACGTACAGTGATCAATCTCAAAAAATAAATAAATAAATAAATAAACACCATTTGCAGATGATGTTGGAATATTGCTATATAAATAAGCGAAGTTGACGATGGAAAAGCTGGAGTCATCTCGTTTGGCATACAATTTTATTGTTAATTGGTCCTTATCGTTACGGTTTATAGTCCGTAAAACAGATGTGGCAGACTCTATGGTATCTCTTATTTCGAGTTCACTGAGATATATCGAGTCGACATACACGTATGAATGGAAGCAACTAATGTTAATTGATAAAACGTTAATAAACGTCGCCGATATACAGGTATCTGGATGTCGAGTTGAAGGCCACAGCAAGTGTTATCTTCTCGTGTAGAATTTTTTTTATTAAAATCTGCTATAAAAAAAGGTTGGCTAATAAAGGAGCACAAGTAGTGCCCATCGTAATTCCAACAGTTTGTTGGAAGATCTAACCAGTGAAATAGATTAATGGCTAAAGCTCAAAAATTTCATTTTTATGGTAGAAGTGTTTTAAGTATTAAACCTGAAAGGAAAGTGGTCCATCAGAACGTGACATCAGCATGTTGACAAGGAATTTAAATCGAACAGGTTCGCAGTTTTTCAATCGGAAGTAGGTGAAGCAGTCGATATTTCTGCTAAATCCGCCGGGTTCCCTTAGAATTAGGCTCATTATCTAAAAAAAGGTATTTATAAAATTAATTATATTCAAAATACATTATCTTCTTCAAATTACAGATTCATTGTCTTGCAACTAACCTGTCAGAATCTCTACTGTACCATATATATATTCTGATTCATGGTCATTTTAATCATCAAAAAGATAAGCTTAATGTGCTAAATTTTAATTAAATATTCCGACATTTTTTACTCCCTAAAAATTCATTTCGTTAATTGCAACTTGTGAAAAATCAATACTCTATCACGTAACGGAAGAGACATTACAAAGATAATCAACTAATCCAGCGAACACATCAGCTCAGAAGAAAACGTAAGTCTTGATAATTACAATCAATAATGCACTCTTTTAAACAAGACAATGACAAAGAGAAATTTGGATATTTCACCTCTAGTGCGGCGACTCTTGACTTCGTGTGCGAACTCATTAGCGCAGAAGCGACGCTTTCTAGTCCGTACGTCGAATCCAGTAGTATTTTACTTGCAGCCTTTAAATTAGAGGGTAAAAGATGAGCTGTCAGATAATAGCAAGAAATCGATCGCAAATGAAGTTATGTCTTTATAAAAAAAATACTAATATTGGTAAATATTTTTTCTTCTCGTTAAATTTATGGATATTGTGATTTGTGGGACAAAATGTCTTACCTGGGCACGGAGGCAAAATTTAATGCAGACCAAGCAATCATATTCGTCGGTCTGCAATATAAATACTATATATCAAAGTGGCACCACAAAAAAAAAAGAAAAAAAGAAAAAAAACTAATGTAATGCTAGACTGAGTAAGCTTTCTCTTAGATATGAAACACTAATTTATACCAGTAATCGTTTTCTGATTTGTGCTCTTTCTTTTGACGGTACTGACGTCATTTCTTTCGTAGTCTTCTGAATGTTTCGTAACAACGTCAACAATAACGTTAGACCGTCGTTATCTTTCTTGCAAAAGTCTTCGATAAACCTTAAATCACAAGCAAAAAAAAAAAAAAAATTACAAAGTTAATTCACAGAAGAAATAACCCATTATGATATCTTCTCTTTTTCACCAATTTTTACTAAGTACGGTGTAATTGTTTTGAAGAGGTTTCCAATATGCGTCATTGGAATTAAGAATAAACAGAACTTTTTACAGAAAAAGTACACAAAAATAGTTAATTTACAAATTATCTTTATGTCTTCTACATTGTATTATACTTTTTGAAATGGCCGAATAAAAAAAGAAATGGCTTCATGTTAGATCCCACAAATAGTGACGGACGGGGCACCCAACCCCTCCTCCAAACCTCAGAGGTGTTCGATTTATTTCCTATTAATATGTTTTTCTCTTTACATATGTTGTCGCAGTAAATGCGATTTTATTTATGTACGACAAATTGCTTGAAAGGAAATATATCAAATAAAGCGTTTCGAATAAATATTACCATTGGTAGGACATTTTGAGGTCCAGTGTGAGTTTTTGCAGGAAGTAGGACACCGGATGGGTAGAGCCTTGATTGTTTTGACCAGTGTTGGACAAGAAATTGCTTTCTCTACTGCAGTACTGTTGGAGGTGCTCTATATACATTACCATACTGTATATTGGCGCCCTCGTTTTCTGTAAAAATAATCAATACAATTAATTAATGCCAAGGTGATTTCACAGTTCAATACAAATATTTTTTTTCAATAATTATTGTTTTTCAAGATTACAAATAGTGACTTTTTTTTCATTTATAATTTTGTTAATTCTTTATAACTTTTCATTTTTGTTTTCGTTATGCATGATTTTAGGTAACAACAAATGGTTTAATACATTCAAAGCTGATACGTGGTATTTTTTACATGTGTTTTTCTTTTGCCCAGTAAATTGAATAACAATTTCATATCATTTATGAGAATCTTTAAATTTAATCTTTACCTGATGATGTATAATTATATGCGATATATTTCTTAATTAATATCAAAAATAAAAAGCAAAAAAAAAAAAATGACAGTAAGCTTCAAAAGTCCAAAGTTTGTTTCGACTTACTTTCTTCGTAGAATTTGTAGATTTAATCGCTAACTTGCTCTTATTCATATATCAAGTATTTAATAATAAACTTAAAATTTACATACAAACAATTTTTTGAGGTAATCGGTCCTACCTGGTTAAAGAGAATATTCCATTTTTCCTCCAGTTTTGCCAGTCTTGCCTTTTGTCTTTCCACAGCCCGGGGGGAGGTGGGGGTCGCCATTACCTACAAAGACACACAGTACTACTCATCACACTGTCATTATGTAGGTCTGACAAGCCCCTGTTAAAATGCTCGTCTTTTTAAATCTCTGAATGGCATGTTCTTATTAATTGTTCATTAAAAACTGAGGACAGAGTATGAAATAATATTGAAGGATAAAATCATGTCGAATCACGATTGAACTTATCAAATGAGTATCTATTTCCTGTATTTTGGAATCTAATTGTAACAATTATGTTTTTGAAATTTTTGTTCCAGAGGAGGTAAGGTTTTTAAATTCCAGAAGAAAGGGGCACATGGTATAAAGGCCTTTATACCTCAGCATGCTATTTATTTACTTCCCCAGAAGAACGAGCTTAATCACCCGGTAATCTGACATGGTCCCCCCTTCTTAATGACACCAACCATCGTTAACCTCATTGTCAACAGAGGAATCTTTGTTGTGCAAACTGTAGGGACAATTAATGGTGATGTTTACAAATACACTGTATGCATGCGACCTATTTGGTCCAATTTAAAGTTCATATTGTGGCTGATTAACGATAAACAATTTATCCAACGGATAACTTTAACAGGAATCTTGAAAGATATTAAATGGATTAATGTAAAATCATGTTGATTTCCAGAGACACTTTGGAGAGCGATTTTTAAGACTTGATACTTTATCTAATGGTGTTTCTAAGAAGGTGGAGAACTCTCAAAATTAGTAAAACTGTTTGACTGTCGGTAAAATATATAAGCACTGTAAGAAGCTAATAAATCAGAAAGAAAAACCAACCCGATACATGTAAACCACAGTAAACAATGCAAGTTGTCATTTCGTGTTTTGAGTTACGATTACTTTGACAGACAAGATGGTTCAACTCTTTAAAGGCTGAAGTGAAAGGTGTGACTATAAAATACAATCGTGTAATTGTTGAAATTTACACAATATGATCATATTTCTTTGTCGGTGTACCAAATTAGCACCTTAAAACTTTATAACAATAGCTCTTGTTTAAAGAAATATCTTCCACAAGGTGACACAATTGAAAAAGGATCCATTTAAGAAATTTGGTGTTACTTCGCCCACAAGGTGAAAACACAAGAGAAAATTCTGCTTGTCCTCGAGAAAATTTGAAACAATTTTTTAGGACTTTGAGATAAAATCTCAAAAAAGACAATTTGTATTTTATGAATGAAAATTTTTAAATATCACTGACTTAAATTTTAAAATTGCATTTTCAACGAAGGTGCGCTGATGACAAAATCTAGGCCTATGGTATAACAAATTTCATAACATACAGCTTGTTAAACAAGCTGAAATGGAGACAGAAAGAAATGTGAAAAGAAAAATATATAGGATACTACTTTGTAGTATACATTTAGTTGATTTTTAAAGATTTTATTTATCATATCATACCCACAATGGGCCAAAAATTAATTTAAATTTATTATTATAATTATTAATTTATCTAATTAATGAAAAAGGTGTTAATTTGCAAAGTAATGAACAGCAATGAGCTGATAGATGTTTCCTGTTTAGGCAGAATTAACGACTTTTTTCATTCTTATCGTGTTATAAATGTCAGAAACATTCTGAATTCAGAAACTTGACCGGTGTCGTTCAAAAATGTTCTTAATCACCATTTGATTGGTGAAGCAAATATTTTCATGTCAAAACCAAAGAGCTGTTGCAAACTGAAAGTAAACATCGTTCTCTGGAAACAACTTGTAATCTGGGTACTTCAAAATAATCCTGTTGCTTTAAGTCTAACAATCTCTCTTGTTAAAGGTACTTCTGTAAATTCTCAGCCTGTTGGAGATAAAGACGTCCCATTGATGTTTTCGGCAGTTTCCTTGTTTGGGCCGATTAGAATTAAATACGAAATCCGTACGATCTGCAAGTTGCTCGGAAATTTTAAATAAGAGGAATCCGACTGCATTCCGTTACAATCAGTGGAGGTTATAGAATTCTGGTCGAATTGATACGATTATAACACCGGGGTGTTTATAATTCCTTCCATTATTAAGAAGATACGCTCAATGACATTTTCCACATGTCAATTTCTACTGATGAGTCTTTTTTTTCATTTTCTATCCGAGAATTAAGATCACATTATTTCCTGATTTAATGTATGTCCTCCAAAGTTTGAAATACTTTATTTATAGATTTTAAGATATGAGAAGCCTTAATACCAGTGATATCTTTAAAATAGTGTTTTTTTAATTGGGTTCAAAATAAAATGTTATGAAATTCAATTATAATTCCCTTTTAAATTCATATAATTGATAGCATATAAATGTATAAATAAAAATTTTAGTAATAAATATAATATGAATTAATAGCAAAAAATGAAAATTTCATTTCTTGTGAATAATGAACATTTCTTCTTTCTTTCCTTTTGTGGAAATGCGCGTTTCCCCTCTTTTCTACTTACATTCCCCATTATCGATCCCTTAAGTATGTCATTTTACTTTATTTAGTGGAGTTCTATCACCAGTTATTGCAGATTTTAATGAATGAAGAAATGGATCATTTTAAAGATTCCTGGTTTACATATATAAATCACTGCTTTTTGTAGCAGTGCTTGGCTTTATATCCGACATCCTCGCAATTTTCAATAATTTATCATTTATGATAAAGGATACCATCCCATTTTATAAAGCACCCGAATATAAGATTTTTTTTCTACCACAAGTTCTTGGACAATAACACTTATTTGTTTAAATACGTAACAGAAAAGAAAGCTACGCTAACTGTACGTACAAAAAAAATCATATTAAAAATATTTTACACAAAAATGTGCTAAAATATTTTACCATCTTCCTTTTTAAAAGAAAATCTCGGAAAAAACTTCTTACTTGTATATTGCAGTGTTCCTCTTTTGAAATTCACAAATACATCGCTCACGAAGAGGAGGGGTTGTTAAGTTTAATACACATGTGTTAGTTTACTGGGTAAACAGGTAACATTGTACAGTTAGCTATGTCAAAGTAGTCACAAGTAGGCTTCAACTATTAAACTGATATCCACCGCGGGGCACGCTGGGATACAGGTCCCTCGGGTAAATATGGTCCAGACAGAAATGTAAAATATTGTCGTATTATCTTTGGTCTCTTTGAGAAATATTTTTCTCCCTTAAAATAAACACTCCGTTGTAAATTATGTAAATAATTACCCCCAGACCTTCGCACAATGATGTTTCCTTTTACTACATAAAGAAGTCAATTTAAAAATTTAAATAACGAGTAAAGTGCAGCGACATTGTTCCCCCGCCTGTGTTGACTTGCGGCTGGGGTATGAACACGAAGGAATAACAAACACGGGTTGGAGATGTGTATTTCGTATACATTTCTTTTACACTTGCAATTAAACAAATACACTTGAGAATAAAAGGAATGTTTTGCAATGTTATTTGGAATTGATTTACAAATAAAAGGTTACAATAGATTGATACTTTGTCCTGATTTCTGTGTTACCACATGCTTGTGCTGAGAGAGAGAGAGAGAGAGAGAGAGAGGAGTACAGTATATACAATGTATACATGTAATTAGTTGTAAAATGCAATGAAGTGGCGGGCGGCCATGAAATGGTACCGTATATAAAATACTCATATATTCCCTAGTATCAGAAAGCTTTTACCTAAAATTTGGGTAAAATATTGAAATATCGGATTAATTAATATCAGAAACTAAGACAGAAGGAAAAAAACCCCAAAAAAATCAATTACCTGATTTTTCCGAGGTTTAAGCATTCCTCCCCGATTTATTCGTGCACCGTAAATATCGCCTTATGAATTATTCAATCAAAAGATTCGGACCCCCTGTGTTCAAAGCTCTGTCTATTCCCAAACGTATTTTTATCAACACTTGATCAATATCACGAATAGGAAAAAAACCCAATCATTTTTATATTTACAAAAAAGGTCATCTCAACCTGTACACAATCTCTTCACAGAAAATTTACAGGGTGCAATCTTTAGACCTTGTAAGGTAAATTTGTTATCGATAGGATCGCACGAGGTGAATCGTCGTTATTTGATCATTTTGAAAGTAAAAGTAAACAAAAACAAAGAAAGATGATCAGTTAATGAGTTTTGTAAACAATTAAGAAAATAAGATTCAATAAACGGCGCGTATTTTAATAGGTTCTGTCAACGTGAAAGTGATAGAAGACTTTAGAGTGCGTATTTAATAACGATTTGCTTTACCCCTGTTTTTAAAATTTAATGCGCGTTGTACCCTTTGTTAGGATATTGTATGACAAGCGTGAAACAAGTGTTTTATTTTTATTATTTAATCAATTAAAATTAACAACTTCTGTCAAAGTAGTGTTGGTGTTGTGTGGTCCGTAGAAAGGAAATTGCAGATTAAACCTAAAAAATCAAGTCCTTAATAAAACAGTATTTTTAAAATAAAAATATTTTCATGTCTTTAATTTGTCAAAACATACAAACATATGAAGAATTGATATTTTCAATCTCATCATCAAAAATACATTTATAACTCAACATGAATTTCTGGACTTTTAATATAGCCAGTTGTCTTGTGTACGTAGTGTATGGTCGCCCGCGTGGCGCTGTGGTTAGATCGTTTGCTCTAGAGTCGCGGAGTAAGATGTTGATCCTTACTCCGCGGGTTCGAATCGCACTGCGAGACGTGGAGACCGGTCCATCGGATGAGACCGTGCAAACCCAGGTCCCGTGTCGCATTAGATGCTGACACGATAAAGAACAGGCTGTAACTGCCGAGTACATGTCTAAAATTGCAGCCCTCCACCGGCAAGTGGTGGCATCTAAATTTGAGTGTAAAATTCTCGAAGGGACGTTAAATAAACAAACAAACGTAATGTATATTGGAAAATCAATACGACGGTTTTAATTTTATCAAGTTTTTAATGAATTAAATGATTGTTCTCCCGTGAGAAAAAGAAGAGTTGCTTACCTTTTATAATGGAATTACTATTGGAACAAAATCTTGTATGTATATGGTGTTATTCCATATTTTCTGGATCATACATTTCATATTCCTCTGGCGTATATTTAACATATTTTATTTCACCTTGGAACAACTTGGAACAATGCCTTCTTATAATGAAGCAATGAATTATGCAAAGAGAAGCTTGATACACACAACGATGTTACATGTACACAACACTTTCAACGAAACAACCAAAATTTCTTTTGTTGTTGATTTACCATTTGTTAAGATACGAAATTGTGTATAAATTATTCACATAAGGTAAAGTTTCTTACAGTATTACAAGTGTTTGTACATATGCATGTTGAGTACTTTGCTTTTTTCCATTACATATATAAATAGAGGGGGGGGGGGAATCTTGATTTGAAATTGGTCTCAAAGTCTCTTTATATCCATCTAATATTTTGTCTTGAATAGTTTGTTGATGTTGGAGAGTCGAAAACTTTGGAGTAACTGCACCGAATACAATGTATTTTGATAAATAGCCCCAAAAACAATCCAGTACGTTGTCTAATTAGTTCGAATTCTAAATTTCATTTCCGATAACGATTTATAAATAAGCTAAAGCTAGATTTTGATCTTCTAAGTTTTCTTTTGAATGTCATCGTAGTCCGACCTTTTCAAAATTATTCCAAACAATCAAAATGAATTTGAATTACCATACTTTTACTGGATCCCTAAACTTAATAAAAATCCTTAAAAACAGAGATACATGTACATAGGGGTTCCAGTAAATGTTCTACCAAGCCTCTTTCTTCAGTCCTCGGTAAAATATTAACAGCAGTGAAGGAGAAACTCCAGGAGTACTGTACAACAATACCCGGTATATTCAAGAAGTGGTGTAAATCAAATATGGATACTTAAAAATTCCAAGTAACTTTTAGAACAAAACATTATTTTGAAGAAAAAAAAAAAATTACAATTCTGATTGTACACACAAGTTCTCTGAAGTTGATATTAAAAAGATGCTTGAGTTTCGGTTTGACAATATCTATGTAGTTTTTGGAGACCAACTGAAGTCTTCCAACAATGTGTCTGAATTCCCATGGGTACCATTTGCACCGTTATTAGCAGACCTATTTTCATATCTATATGAAGCAGAATTTATTCCAAACCATACAGGAGAAGAAGAAAACACTTGCTGTGGGCTTCAACTCGACATTTAGATATATCGACAACGTATTATCAATTAACAATAGTTGTCGACTCGATATATCCCAGTGAGCGTGAAATAAAAGATACCACAGAGTCTTACACATCTGTTTCATATTTGGATATTTTACTAGAAAAAGACGTAAATGGTAACCTAATAATCAAGTTTTATGATAAACGCCATAACTTTTCAATCAACTTCCTTACTTTTGTAGCAATATACCATTATCACCTGCACATGGGTTTTATGTTTCTCAGTTGATTCGATATGCAAGAGCATGTTCTACGTACGAACAATTTCTAAAACGAGGCAAGCTATTGACAAACAAGTTGATGAAACAAGAATATCAACCGTCTCGTTTAAAGTCATCATTTTGCAAGTTCTTTTGTCGATACAATGACCTTGTCAGCAAATATAATCTATTATTAAGTCAAATACTGACTGGTGTTTTTCGTAATAATTGTGAGGCCATTATTTACACACTAAATTGACAAGAAACACATAGCGGATGTGACCGGTGGACAGGGGATGCTCACTCCTCCATGGCATCTGATGTTTTAGGGGTCCGTATTTGCTCTGCTCCTGATTTGTATTGTTTGAATGGACTTTGAGTTTGAATACTGTTCGTTTTCTCCATATTCCACTTCTTGCTTTTAAAATTGGTGCGTTAATAATTATTTTCTTAACCAATTACATGTCATGTACTCTTTTTTTGCGAAATGTCCAAATGGCATTGTGATCGTGCGTCAAGCAATAAACAGAAGGCGACATAATTATACATTTAAGTCCAACTTTCACGCAAATAAACCCTCTGCTTTTAATTAACACATCCCTTGAGGCTGATTTTGTTTTTAGTTGCTTGAAATATTTAAGTGTGTAAAGATGTAATTCATTAGTAATCGATGTCAGACAAATATTATGATCTCCCTTTTAAATCAGATATTCTTGTCATGTCAATATAATGAAGGGCACCAGGGATACCATGTTATTCTGAAATGTTTAATGTGATTTGGTTGCATAATAAAGGACTGCTTTTGACTACTTTGTGAATTAAGACAGTTTTATTGATTAGAGGTAATATGAGTACGGCATAAAGTCTTGAAATCGTCGATTTTGTTAATCATTCACAAAAAATTAACAATAAATATAATACTTGTTTTCGTAGATTCATAAACATTTGATGTCACTAAAGAAAATTAAATTAGCCTCGTCCTTTTGCCTCGGTTAATAGAAAAAATCTCAGATAAGTTTTGAGTATCGTGTTGAACTGAGTAAAAATTTTTTTAAATATATTGACATTTGAAGTCTGTACGGCTACATGTAAGAACAAAAACATATCCATGTAGATCTTGAAACTTTATAACAGGTACTATGAGAATGAGTGGAAGCGTAACTGATTCAGTTCGACTGGTGGAATTTCCATTGTTAATGTAAGTTTCAAGGACAGATTTTTCTCTATGTTAACGGGATTATGTAAATCTCTTTATCAAGACATGTGTATTAGACAGAAACCTGTATGGCCGAAGGGCATTGAGAAGCAGTTAAAATCCGATTGGTAATAAACCCCTAATAGTTTACTTAGCGTCTTGATATTGGGCCATATAACAACTTTGTGGCCCGGATAATCAGTTTCTAGATAAACAAACCGTTTAGGGAGAAACCGTTCATCTATAATCAGGCCAATACCACAGACGACAATAAATGAAGACCTCGTCATTGGATTGGAATTGTCTGATAAATTGTCCCTGCGGGCCGGGCGAGGTCTAAATATATAATATTAATTTAATCCCCTAAGCAAGTGTTGGATTATTGGGATGCTTTTCTAGTGCAGACTGGTCTCTATTTAAAAAAAAATATATGTGGTCATAATTACAAATTTTAAAAAAAAAACTTCCTAGATTATACACCTGCAAGGT